GGGACCTTCCTGGCTGTGCTTTTGAGGTTGTTCTAGTTCATCTCCCACAAAACTTAGTCAGATCTTCCCAGAATGCTTGGAGAAATTAAATGCTAGGAGCATTTCTACAGAGAGATCCATGAGACAGGGGATGGAGACCAGCCTTGTACTTCTAGTTTTGATTCTTCATGGGGCTCAGCACATATCCTTGGAAATGATCCCCTGAGTCATCCTGAGATGGAGCCAGGGGCTCGTGAACCCTGGGACTCCTTACCCGTGGGCTCTTTTAGAAAGAGCTTTCCTAGTTGATGAAAAACAGAAGTTCTCCTGCAGGGGGGTTTAATTACCCCTCTCCCATCCCCAGGTCCCGGTTCCCTTTTAATTCTGCAGTGGCCCCCTCTCTCTGCCCTTCCTTCCTTGCTCATCAGCTTTCTCACCCCGGCTTTTCCTGCGTGCATGTGAACAATCTGAACTTGGTGCCAGAATGAGTCAACCTTGATTTTTCTGAGACAGGAAGCTTAAGAATTTTCAGAAAAAGAAACCTATTTGATCTACATTTGACACTACAAATAGCTAGTCCCTCCTCGCCTCCATAAAAAGAAGAAACAAGAAGAAAAGAAAGATGGGGAAAGACAGTGGATTCTGACCTGTTTACCCTGCACTTCTAATGACAGCAGCAAATTTAAAGAGCAACAAACCTCTTTTATTTCACACTTCTCTTCTCATTCATGAAGCTAAGTCCTTTTGTCTGTTCATTTTGGGTACTGGTCCTAAAATGAGATGATAACAGTATAACAGTCTTTATCATCAAATAGAAATGATATTTTAATATCACTGTCCATTAGAGATTTACCTAAAATGTGAATCCTGTGGATCCTACACACCAAGTAAAGGTCCACGACCCAAACTTCTCTCATTCTGCCAAGTGTTTGATACTGTTTCACGTCATTATCAATTGACAAGCTACTCCAGGATACACACTCTGTAAAACCAGAAGGGAATCATAGCTGTGTTAGTAATTAGCCTTCTAGTAAATAATTGCTTCTTTATTCTTGAGTAATAAATATTAGCTCAAATGATCACTCTGAATTTTATTTTCTAATAATATCCAAAGAAATAAACTTTTACAAAGCACAGATTCACCAATTTTATAAGAATAGTTGAGCAATCGTAATATTCAGTCACTCAGTTGCTCAGTCGTGGTCGACTCTTTTGCAACTCCGTGGACTGTAGCCTGCCAGGCTTCTCTGTCCTTGGAATTCTCCAGGCAAGAATACTGGAGTGGGTTGCCATTTCCTTCTCCGGGGAATCTTCCCGACCCAAAGATTGAACCAGTGTGTCCTGCATTGGCCAGTGGATTTTTACCACTGTGCCACCAGGGAAGCCCCAGTTGAACAATATGACTTCTCAAATAGACTGAACTATCTCTTTTCTAAAATGCAATTTGACTGCAAAACTAATCTCTTTTGGACTTCCCTGGTGGTCCAGTGGTTAAGAATGCATGTGGCAATGAAGACCCAGTGCAGCCAAAAATAAATAAAATGAATGAAAATTTACAAAACAAACAAAAATCTTAAAAAAAAAATCTAAATCTCTTTTGCCTACGAACAGGTCATTCCCACTGGGTAAGAGAAAACAATCCTCCATCCACTGTTTCACTATGGCCTGGGAGGCAGGTACGTGCCTGTGGGCAGAATTTCCAGCCAGGGTCCTGTGTGGCATCTGGGCCCCTGCAGTTACGCAGCTGAGCTTTCCGGGGAGCAGAGACACTTCGCCTCCCCAGCACATGTGAAGCTGAGCCCTGATGTTGGAGAATTAGGCTCCGTGTATTGTTCTTATCTCTGTGCCCAAGGTTGATTTAATACATTAAAGATTGAGGCCCACATGAAAGTTCCTGTCTGGATTCCTGTGTCGAAAGCGGTGTTGGGTGTGCATGCACTTTATTTATGCAGCACTGTTTATGTGCATTCCAGCGATCATTAACAAAGGCCACTCGGTGGAAAACCCTGATGAAAGTGGATTTGAAAGTGGCTGTATCAGCTACAGGTTTTGGCAAGACCTCAGTGACGCTGAATGTAGTGAAAGCCCTGTGTCATCAATTTGTGTTCAGCCAACCTTATATGGAGAGACAAGGCAGTTCAGTCAACCATGCTAAAGAGCGGCCACAGAAATATCATGGATTTCATTTGGGCAAAGGTTCTATATCTTAACAAAGAAGCCCTCACTGTTTTTTTAAATTAGGTGCTAAGACCTGTTTGTCAGCACACAACGGGTGAGTTAGACGAGCTTGTGTTCGTTTGCCTAGGGCNGACCCAGAGGGATCGGGTGGAGAGGGAAGTGGGAGGGGGGACCGGGATGGGGAATACATGTAAATCCATGGCTAATTCATTTCAATGTATGACAAAAACCACTGCAATGATGTAAAGTAATTAGCCTCCAACTAATAAAAATAAATGGAAAAAAAAAAAAAGAAATGTGTTAGCAGAGTTCTGGGAACTGGAAGTTCAAGATCAAGGTGCTGGCAGGGTCAATTCCGTCTGAGACCTCTGCTCTTGGCTTGCAGATGGCCATCTTTTCACTGTGTCCTTACCGGGTTGACCCTCCATCTGTGTGTATAGGTCCTAATCTTCTTTTCTTAAAACGACACCAGTCAGACAGGATTATGACCTCCTTGACCTTGATTGACTCTTAAAATACCTCTATCCGGATACAGCCGCCTTCTGAGGTACTAGGGGTTAGGACTTCAGCATTTGGATTTGGGGGAGACATTTCTGCCAGTAACGTGATTTAACATATTGCATCTAGATGCTTCATAGCCCCCTCTTCTGCTTTTGCAGATTTCCATCTCATAATCCCTTTTTTGGTTTGTTTCCCAGTCTCCAGTTTGGGGAACTACTCAGAGATTGTGAAAACAACACCCAGGATCATAGCTGAAGGCCTTGATCAAGATACTTAAACGATTTGTCCTAAAGCTTTCCCACTATGGTTGTTCTTACACTGGATATCATTTTGTGACACGTGACTGACCTCTCTGTCTAAAAGCCAACAAGGGTTTGATGAAAGCACAAGAAAATGGTATTGAAACGATTGCTGCTGGTTGAGGTCAGAGATTACATGTTGCTCAGCTCAGGGTTTCATTCTTTTCCCTTGCAATCTGTAGAAGTGTGGTTGACATTTTAGTACCTGTGAGATCCTGGGAAGATGATTTAATCTTTCTGTGCCTCCGTTTTCTTATCTGTAAAGTAGTGGGAGTAATAGTACGTATTTCATGAGAAGAATGTAGTTAGGAAGGTTTGAAGTGCTAGTAATTCTAATAAAGCACTTAACTTGTCCTTAGCCACAGCAAGTACTGTGGCTCAGCAGGTAAAGAATCTGCTTAGAATACAGGAGACACAGGAACCTCAGGTTTGATTCCTGGGTCAGGAAACCCCCCTGGAGAAGGAAATGGCAACCCACTCCAGTATTCTTGCCTGGAGAATTTCATGGACAGAGGAGCCTGACAGGCTACAGTCCATGGGTCTCAAAGAGTTGGACACAACTGAGCGACTGAGCAAACAAAATGTAGTAAATAAAAATATATACAAATGATAGAATATATGAATTACAAAACTGGGGAAAGGTTTAAAAAAAAAAAACAAAACTCCCCCCAAAACAAAGCCATGTAATCATGTTCAGAGGAGAATTTTCTGGAGATGTCTATGCTCCAGGAGAATAGCCTTTACCTTATTTTAATTATTGTATGTTTAAATTGATGAAGATGGTTCTAGATTTTTAAACATGGACATTCAGTTCTGGATACAAGCAGTTCCTGATTTTCCTCATTACTGAAATCCAGTAACATTGTTTTGCTTTTAATGTGCTTTAGAAACAGTGGATGTGTTTTATTGGAGGGCGTTTCTTGTAGGTGAACAGAGTTATTGTAATGAGATAGAACTGTCCTTCCCAGGGAATAGTTCAGTAGATGAAAATAAAATATTTTGGTTTATGGTGGGTTAATTTTGAGGAATTGTGTTCCTGGAATTGGTGAGGGCTAAGATGGGGAGAGGCTTAAGACAAAAAACAAAACCCCAACAAGCCCAGACGTCATATAGTTGGACTCATCCAGTATGTAGCCTTTTCAGACTGGCTTCTTGCACTTAGCAATATGCATTTAAGATTTCTCCATGTCTTTTTGCGGCATGAGAGCTCAATTTTAAAAATTATTATTACTGAATAATATTCTTTTGTATGGACATCACACTTTCTTTATCCATTCACCTGTGGAAGTTTTCAGCTCCTTTGGGTAAGTACCAAGGAGCATGATTGTTAGATTGTATGGTTAGATCATATTTAATTTTGTAAGAAATCACCAAACTACCTTCTGAAGTAGCTGCAGCATTTTGCATTTCCACTAGCTCTGAACGAGAGTTCCTGTTGCTCCACAACCTCACCAGCATTTCATGTTGTTGGTGTTCTGGGTTTTAACTGTTGTGGATTTTAACCATTGTGATAGGTGTGTAGTGAGTTGACTTTTTTATCTCATCTCCAATCAACGTATGGGAAATACATCATTACTATTAATGAAATATAATGCAACTATGACCATTAAGAATCCTGCTGGAGAAAGACACTGGAAACAAGAAAACAGGCACTTATGCTAGTATTAACATTATTGGGACTTCCCTAGTGGTCCAGTGGTTAAGACTCCATGCCGCCATGCAGAGGGCACATGTTCCACGCCTGGTGGGGGAACTAGATCCCACATGGTACAGAGCACAGCCAAATTATATTAAAAAAAAATTACATTGCTAATAACAATAATAATAATAATACAGATTCATTTGTGAATAGTTTGAGTATATTTTGAAAACAAATGCCACCAGAAAAACATTTACAAGATACATCTCTTTTATGAGCAGTTATCTTCAAAAGCAGTAAAAGACACTGGAAGTCATCATATGGCAGTGCTCTCAAGAGGCACTTTGATTTCTGAGCACTTGTTACTGGTTATTGATTGAGACTTTTCAATGGCTTTGTTCCAGGTCTTCCAGGTCGCTTATGTCATCATCAAGGCAGCGAATGCCCCTCGGCCTGGAAACTGGATCTTGGAACGTTCAGTGGATGGTGTAGAGTTCAGCCCCTGGCAGTACTATGCTGTCAGTGACACGGAATGTTTGACTCATTACAACATCACTCCGAGACGGGGGCCGCCCACCTATAGGGCGGATGATGAAGTCATCTGCACCTCCTATTACTCCAGGCTGGTGCCGCTTGAACACGGAGAGGTAAGGCGCCCCCTACCGGGCGGGAGGTCTGCTTTTCCCCCACCTCCAATGACTGCACAGCTTCGCTAGGAGCCAAAGATCACTGAGATCTTTAACTATTGAGATGCTGGAGCTGAGGTATCATTGCCTGGTGGCTTCTGATGCTTCATGTTGCCCCGGACACATGTTACTTTATTGATTTCTTCCCTTCAAGGAGGTCCCTCAACTTCACTCTGCTGTGATTTAATAATTCATCAGGATCCTCCCTGGAGGATCCTTCCCATGACACCAGGGTAGCAACATTTGTTGATAGAGCTCCTGGTTTTCTCCAGGAAGTTCTCCCTCTCCCTGAGGTGTTGTGGGTTGGATATGGTTGATGAAGTGTTCCACTTCTGTGCTCTACATGCCCGGACTGCACATGCATCATTAAATCAGAGTGTGATAAAAAATTAGCCATGCCTGATAGCATGCCTTAATAAGCTAAAACCACAAAAACCCTCAAAAAAGTGCTTTTTCATACAGGAACTCAGCAGCAAGCCCTGCATTGTTTCAAGAGCAGAGATGAGTTGAGAGAGTGGGAGTTACAAAGTTCCCAGGCACCTTTTCTCACTCTCCTCAGTCTGTCCTTGACATTTAGACTCTGGTTCACAGATGCCTGTGGATCCATGTAAAAATGCTCTCATCACACCCGGAGAAGTGTTCTTGTTTAAAGGTTTCCTGAAATCCTGGAGACACTAGAATGAATGACCTTAATAAAATGAACTTGGATTGTGATCATTGCTGTACACAAGTGTCAATGAATATTAGATTCCTGTAAGAACCTAGTTATTTGGTTTGATTTTAGATAATATCTGTAAAGATTATGCCCTGAATTTGAACCATCAGAGTTATATTTTTTTTGTATGCTTAAAATGGATATTTCTTTATTTTAATGTTTTATCTTTAGATTCACACGTCGTTAATCAATGGCAGACCAAGCTCTGACGATCTTTCACCCAAGTTGCTGGATTTCACTTCTGCACGATACATCCGCCTGCGTTTACAGCGCATCCGAACCCTCAATGCCGATCTCATGACCCTCAGCCACCGGGACCCTAAAGACCTGGACCCTATTGTCACCAGACGAGTAAGTCTGGCAGGGCTCCTGACCTCTGGGAAAACTTTATGTCATTTAAGGGAAATAGACATTCCCTCCCTGGTTGGCCTTTTTTCTTATTTTTGTTGGCGACATTAAATACCACCTTTAAATGAGGTCAAAGTTCTGATGTGGTGTCCTCAGGCCCCCTTGTCTCCACTCATCCAGCGACATCATCTTGCAGCAGATGTAGTGGCCATTTCTTCATTCTGATCTGGCTCCATGACTGACCAAGCAAGTGAGAGTTGTTGGGTTTTGTTTTTTTTTTTTGTTTTGTTTTGTTTTGTTTCACTTAAAAGTTTAAACTTTGAGATACACATATAGTAAATGTACAAGGTTCATAGGGACAGACATTTTCAAACCCCTTAAGTAGGAGTGGAACGACCAAGTTACAGGATAGCTGTATGTTTAATTTTGGGGAATTTACTGAGACATCAAAAGCAGCTATACCATTCTGCAGCAGTGTGTGAGAGCTCTGGGTACACCACACATGTCCATATTGGGGTGCTGGTCACTGTCACCTCAGCCGTGCCGAAGTGCATGGAGGAACGTCTTCTTGAGTATTAATTTGTGTCTCCCTGAGAATTGTGTTGAGTGTGTGCTTATTTGTATCTGATCACATTTTTATCCATCTTTAAGTTGGGTTACCTGTCTCTTTATTCCTGAGTTATAAATATCTTTATATATCTTGTGTACAAGTCCTTTGTCAGATGTGTCTCTACTGCAAATCCATTCTCTGTCCTCAGTCTCTTGCTTATCCACTTTCTTAACTATGACTTTCAATGAATAGAAATTTTAATTTTGATAAAATGCAATTTATCATTTTTTCCTCAGAATTAATCTTTCTATTCCTCTCTGAAAAATACTTGTTTACCGCAAGTTTACAAAAATATTATCTGATGCTTTTTTGTAATAGTTTTATAGTTTTAGTTCTCACACCTATTATCCATTCTTGTTCATTTTTTATTTGGTGTGAGGTAGAAGTTCTTTATTCTGCATGTGCATGTACAATTATTCCACATGACTTGTTGAAAATATATGCATTCTTTTTTTCTTTAAATTATTTTGTGGCCTGTTGAAAATTACTTGACCTTATTATTTTGGATGCATTTCTGGACACTGTACCGGTCTAATGATCTGTTTGTCTATCCTTATGCCAATAAAGGTCTTTCTCCATTACTGTAGAAAGTCTTGAAGTCAGGTAGTGTAACAGTCCACTTCAGTTCTTTTCCAGGATTGATTAGGCTATTCCAAGTTCATTGTGTTTCCTTATGAGTTTTAGAATCAGTTTGTAAATTTCCGCCCAAAAAGAAAGGAAGAAAGAAAGCCTGCTGAGACCTTCATTGGAGTTCATTGATTCCATAGATCAACTTAGAAGGAATTTTAGAAAACATTTTGACAGTATTGGATCATCCAGTTCACAGATGTGCTATATGTCTCCTCTTATGTCCGACTTCCTTCACTCCTCTTGGCATTGATCTATTGTTTATTGTCCATCTTTTGTTCAGTTTATTTTTAAGTATTTCTTGTTTTTGAATGTTAGTGTTAATGGCTTGCTTTCTAAAATTTGTTTGCCATTTGTTCATTCTAGTATACAGAAGTGTAGTTCATTTTTGTTCATTGAGATATTGCCTGATTTACAATTCTTGTAGCTTTTGATAGATTTTCTATGTACACAATCATGTTATCTACAAATAAGGACAGTTCAGTCTTACTATGCCCTCTATTTGCCTTTGACTTCCTTTTTCTTGCATTATTGAACTGACTGGCACCGTATGGACTACTAAAATGTTGACTAGAAATTGTGAGAGCCGATTTTAGGGGGAAAGTGCTTAACCTTCCACTGTTAGATCCAGGTTTTCTATAGACACACCTTATTAGACTGAAGAAGCTTGCTTCTGCTTATGGTTTGCTTAGTTTTTTGAATGATGGTATTGCCTTCTTTAAAATGCTTTTTCTGCATGTAATGAAAGGATCTTAGGTTTCCTCCTTTATTCTGTTAATATGGTGATTTACATTTATTGATGTTTATATGTTAAATTAACTCTGCACCCCTGGGATAAGTCCTATTTGGTCATGAGTTATCCTTTTTATATAGTGAAAAAGTGAAAGTTGCTCAGTCATGTATGACTCTTTGCAACCCCATGGACTATACAGTCCATGGAATTCTCTAGGCAAGAATATTGGAGTGGGTAGTTTATAAAGGGCTATATTCAATTTAGGAATATTGTTAGAGTTTTTAGTAGCCTAGGTTTTGAATATGACTGCCTCAGTTTATGATGCAGCCAAGTTGAGAAATTCTTTTTCAATTCTTTTGGTTTCTATGGATGAGCTAATTTGAACATTATTTACTCTAATTGAACATAAATATTTTATTTATATTTATTTATGCATGAAATATTCTTTAAAAGGTATATGTGTGTTTTTGATTACCAATAGCAACTGAGATATTTGTTTGCATGTCAACATTTTCTTTGCACTGAAATAGAAGAGGTTTTATTTTATTTTATTTTTTTTGTAACTTTCTTTTTCCTTAGTATTACTATTCAATAAAAGACATTTCTGTTGGAGGAATGTGTATCTGTTATGGCCATGCTAGTAGCTGCCCATGGGATGAAGCTACAAAGGTGAGTAGTAGTATTTCACATCTTACTAAAACCTCAGAAGTTGTAGCTATAGTGTTGGCGTTGCACTTTTTATTTAAGGCAAATGTTGAAAGTTATAAAATCATGCCACAAAAAGAGAACTTTTTAGATAATATAACTAGTTTAATTTTTTAAAGACAATTTAATTTTGCTTTGGTTGAAGAATACGTTTTAAATAAATCTTCTAGGAATTTTTTTTGTTGCAAAAAAAGATATAATATTTGCCATTTTAACCTTAAACTATAAAATTTATATATATATATATTTTTTTTTTTTTTTAAAAAAAGGAAAGTTACTCATAGGAGCTTCCAAACCTTTCAAGTCAACATATCTCTTTTGAAAAGTTTTTGTTAGTTAACCCATGTTAGTTTATTTTCTTTCTTCTCAATTCTGCATGTAACCAGGTTCTATGTTTATTTTTATCTTTAAAAATGAAATACCAATTTGCTTATATGTCACTATATATCCTCAACTGCAAACCCTTGCTATGTATTTGACTGTGATGAATTTTTCTTGAAATAAACTTAAAAAAAGCATGCAGGTCAATTTTCAGATCCAGTTTTATGTTCCATGTCGTTTAGAAATTCCAGTGTCAGTGTGAACATAACACGTGTGGGGACAGATGCAATCGATGCTGCCCTGGGTACCACCAGCAGCCTTGGAGACCTGGCACTGTTTCTTCCGGGAACACGTGTGAAGGTGAGGCCGCTCAGAGGTGCAGGGATGTGAGGTCTTCCCTGTTCATCTGCTTCAGTTTACAGTGACTTCATATTTATAGTGTGTAATGGTTTGGAAATGACCCTGATGCTGGGAAAGATTGAGGGCAGGAGGAAAAGAGGGTGACAGAGGATGAGACAGTTGAATTGTATCACCGACTCAATGGACATGAGCAAACCCAGGGAGATGGTGAAGGACAGGGCCGCTGGACATGTTGCAGTTTGGGGAGTCGCAAAAAGTCAGACACGACTTAGCAACTGAATAACAATAAAGTGGTTTCCTTAGTTATTCAAGCAATTCCCAAAGCTGCAGACTACTGTCATAAGACATCAAGGATTGAGACCTAATATATCATTATGATTTGCTATTTATCTATGATTGCCCTTCCCGTATATTCATTTATTCTTTACTAATTTGGATTTAGATTTTAAATAGGCAATATATTCACAGGGTTCCAATATCTACAGTATATAAAAGCATATTTGTATATTTCTATCTCCACCCTTCCCACTTTGTATTATTTCCCGGTAGGTTCTTCCTGAAATGTTTATGCAAGTAAAGCATGTTAACACATTCCTATACCTTACACAGTTTGTGCATAGAATCTAATGTGATATACATGTCAATCTGTGCATTGCTTTTATATTTAACAATATATCTTAAAGAAAATTCCATATTTTAATTTCCATATTAATTTCCATTTAATTTCAATATTAATAGTATGAAATGCTGCTTTAAAAACAGTTGCACTGGGGAATTTCCCTGCTGGTCTAGTGGAAAAGACTCTGCACTCCCAATGCTGGGGGCCCAGGTTCAAACCCCAGTCAGGAAACTAGATCCCACATGCCACAACTAAGACCTGGTGCATCCAAATTAATCAATTAATTAAAAAAATAGTTTCATTGAACTCCATTATATGGATTTAATGTTATCAAAACATCTACCTACCTGTAGTATTTTGCTTGCTGTCAGAGATGGTTAGATAGCATCACCGGTTCAATGGACAGTTTGAGCAAACCCCAGGAGACAGTGACGGGCAGAGTAGCCTGGCGTGTTGCAGTCTGTGCGGGTCACAGAGTCACACAGGACTTAGCGACTGAACAACAACAGCAAGTCTCCTTTTAACACAAGCAGTGGTACAGTGATTCACCTGACAAGTGAGCAGGTGCTTCTGCAGAATGTGATCCCAGGAAAGAGGTTGATGGATCCAGTGGGTGTGCACTTATAATTCAGATAGCTATTCCCCAACGCCTCCAGAAGGTGGCCCATGTCCTACTAAAATGACTTACTCTATAGTTTTAATTTATAGTCAGCTCGCCTGGTAGCTCAGCTGGTAAAGAATCTGCCTGCAATGTAGGAGACGCCGATTCGATTCCTAGGTTGGGAAGATCCCCTGGCAAAGGGACAGGCTACTCACTCCAGTACTCTTGGACTTCCCTGTTGTCTCAGCTGGTAAAGAATCTGCCAGCAATGCCAGAAACCTGGGTTCAATCCCTGGCTTGGGAAGATCCCCTAGAGAAGGGAAAGGCTACCCACTCCAGTATACTGGCCTGAAGAATTCCATGGACTTTATAGTCCATAGGGTTGCAAAGAGTCGAACACAACTGAGTGACTTTCATTTTCATCAAAATTTACTTAAGGAGGGAAGGCTTGTGTTTATCTAGACCATGGCATCTATATTAACCAAAATTTGAAAATATTTTCCTAGAATGCAACTGCCACAATAAAGCCAAAGACTGTTACTATGATGAAGATGTGGCCAGTCAGAGGAGAAGCCTGAATATTGCTGGACAGTTCAGAGGAGGAGGGGTTTGCATCGGCTGCCTGCAGAACACCATGGGTGTCAACTGTGAAACCTGTGTGGATGGATATTACAGACCCCATGGGGTAAGAGTGCCTTGGCTGTCGCCCAGCTTTGTGGCAGGAAAGAGCCTCAGACCACCACACACAACCCCAGCGCTGGAGATATTTCCTTCTATAACATTTGACTGTATTCTTTATTTGACTGAATATTTATTGGGGAGTCTTTTATAATCCAAGCAATTGAAGGCATACAAAGATGAAAAAGAAACCATTTGTTTTCGAAGAACTTAAAATTTGATTGGGGAGACAGATGTGCCCAACAGTTAAGTATAAAATCAATCACTAGTTGAAGGGTTGAAATAGAGTTACAGACAACCAGCTATAAAGATAAGGAAGGTGTTTTTGAGTCCTGACCATTTCTCACTTCTTTTGTTTTCTGGTTCAGAATCCCTTTATTGGAATGCTAGTAAGGGGTACATGCATATAATTATAAGGATTCCAGTTCTTAGGACCTTTCTTAGATTTTGACTCATGATTTTTCTTCTGTCCTTCTGCTGGCAGTTGCCCTGAGAATACCCGCCACTTAATCTTTGTTTTTTTAGCTTGTAGTGTTACTTTAGTATAGATATCCTGCTCTCTTGTCCTCTTTTCTGACTCAGAGTAGGATGTTTGCTCACTGCTACTTACCTTGAATTCAGAGGCCCCTGGCTGCATCCTCTCAGAGTTTTATGATACTCAGTGTTCATATGGAGGGTCAGCCAATAACTGAAGCAGCTGTCTCCTGCTCAAAGGAAGTGCTCACTTCTCAGTTGACATGTAGCTGACATGGGAATCCCGTGGTGGCTGGCTTATGGGAGATGATTCTAGATAACTCCAGGTCACAGCAGAGCTAGGGGGCCTGGGAGCTGTGATAATGGGAAAGGAGGACTCTTTGCTAATGATGCCAGCGGTTGTCACCATCAAAAGTATGTTTGGTATTTTCTGGCTTGACCTACACACCCTGGGTACACAAAATCATGGTGATAGTCACATCTGGGATGAAACGCCAACACTTTGTCATTGATGTTATTGTCAATGTTAATGCTAAGATTGCTATTATTTCTAGCAAGATAATCTAGGACAACCTCTGCCTTTCAGGTGTCTCCTTATGAGGACAACCCTTGTCGCCCCTGTGACTGTGACCCTCTGGGGTCCCTCAGTTCTGTCTGTATTAAGGATGACCTTCACTCTGACTTACACAGAGGTACTTGGTTCATTTCTGTGCTCGTAATCGATGTGTGTGTGTGTGTAAGATTTGCACCTAGCAAGACTGTTACCATTGTGTAATAATTTGGTGATGATTCTCTATTGATGTTTTGCTCATCAGATATTTATGAAGCACCTACTACTATGTGCCAGGCAGTTTTTTAGGGCCTGGTAACATGTATATATAGTTGAACAGATGACCAAGGTCTCTGCTCACAGGCAGACACTAAATGAACAAGTCCATGAATAATATAAAGCCAGGTCTCCGTGCCCTGGGCATAAAGCAAAATTACCAATCGTGATAGATTTGAGGAAGGGAGGGGAGGGGATGGTGATGTCAAGGTGACAAAATGACATTTGAGAGGTTAATTGAGCTTTTGATGAAAGAAGCAATGAGGCTCTGTTTCAAGTCATATGTGGAACAGTAAATATCAATCACTGCATTTAGCTCTCAGAAGACAGGCAGAGGCTTAAGCATACATCCTCCTACAACACAAGCAAATCCTCCAGGTAACCTTGTAAATGTCAATGTTCTTTCCATTTCCAAAACTGGCAAATGGACATGCAAATGCCAGAGTCCACTGAATAGGTTGTATCTGCTCAGAGCCCCCTGCGACCGCCTCCGGTGCTCAGTCACTGGCAGTGGAAGTGGATATTGATCAGCAAAGAAGGACGAGCTCACTGTGGGCCCGCTGGTTGGGGGGATGGTGAATTACAGGAACTAATGATTCTTACCTGCAACCCGCGATAAGATGATGCTGATGATGACAGTTACCTTTGATTGGATTCACTGAAAAATATACATCATTTTAATTTTTAATCATAGCAAGTAAAAATTATTTTACCCACTCTATAGGCAAGGAAACTGTAGCTCAGAGCACTTGAGAAACTTGGCCAAGAGTCTGCAATTTTTGAAGCTGATATTAAAAGCAAAAGACAATTCTCATCATCCTCCACCACTGGCTTCTGTGCTTTTTTTTTAAAAAAAAGAATTTTCTGATATAATTGATTTGCATACAGTACACCCGTTTAAAGTGTACAGTCCATTGTTTCGGGATATTCATGGGTACAGCCATCACCACAATCCAATATTGGAATATTTCTATCACCCTGTAAAGAAGCCCCCTGGCAGTTTCACTGCCTGTTTTCCTTCACCCCTCCCCCACCCCTGCCCCAGCTCTAGGCAACCACTGAGCTACCTTCTTTCTAGAGATTTGCTTATTCTGGCCATTTCATAAAAATAAAACATAGAGTATGTGGTCTTTAGTGACTGGCTGCTTTCACTGACCATACTATTTTCAAGTTTCATCCCTATTGTAGCAGGTGTCAGCATTCGTTTCTTTTTTCTTGCTGTATAATACTCCATTGTATGTGTGTTTAACTTATTCATTCATCAGTAGATGGATATTTGAGTTGTTTTGACTTTTTGGCTGTTGTGAATAATGCTGCTATGAGCCTTTGTGTAAAAGTTTTGGGGAAGACGTTTTTCTTGGTTAGATACTTCAGAGTAGCATCTCTAGATATTATGGCTACTCTCTGCTTAGCCTTTCAAGGAGGAACTGAATGGTTTTCAAAAGCTACTGCATCATTTTACAGTTACATGTGTTTTCCACCTTTTCTTTCTTTAAACCAGGGGTTGTCAACTATGTTCTATGGGCCATAACTTGCACCACTGTCTTTATAAATAAAGTTTTATTGGAACAGAGCTGTTTCCATCTGTTTATGTATCCTCTGTGGCTGCTTTCAAGCCATATGGGCTGAGTTGAATAGTTGCAACAGAGACTGGCCAAAACACCTACAGTATGTACTCTCTGGCCTTTTACAGAAATAGTTGGCTGACCCCTGCTTTAAACCCCTTTTACTTTCCTGCTGGATCATTTTGCCACTTTCTTTGCAGGGAAGTGGCCAGGTCAGTGTCCATGCAAGGAAGGTTATGCTGGAGAAAAATGTGATCGCTGCCAATTCGGCTATAAGGGTTACCCGGAGTGTGTGTCCTGTGACTGCAACCCAGCTGGCAGCGTGAATGAGGAACCCTGCTCTGAGTCTTGTCTCTGTAAGGTACGTATGACAGAAAATAATCTTGAGCATTCATTTACAAGATGAACAGTTATAAAGTCCTCTTCAGATTTTAAAATGCTTGAAAGATTGACAAACATAGAAGATTTAAAACAAAATAATGTGAAAAAGCCATTGCAATATAACAAGCTCTAGATCCTTAGGCTCAGACTTGAGTACAAAATCAGATGATAATATTTCAGACTATTGGGAAATTATGACATTATGAGGCTTTGCATTTGTCTTTTTGTTTACCTATGTCTCTGGGTTGCCAGACATGTTTCCTGCTAATGTCACGTTTGTTACTGTTGTTCAGTCGTTCAGTCGTGTTTGACCCTTTTTGACCCCATGCGGCACATCAGGCTTCCCTGTCCTCCACTATCTCCTGGAGTTTGCCCAAATTCGTGTCTATCGAGTCAGTGATGCTACCTAACCATCTCATCCTCTGCCACCCTCTTCTCCTTTTGCCTTCAGTCTTTCCCAGTATCAGGGTCTCTTCCAATGAGATGGCTCTTCGTGTCCGCTGGCCAAAGTATTGGAGCTTCAGCTTCAGCATCAGCCCTTCCAATGAATATTCAGAGTTGATTTCCTTTAGGACTGACTTGTTTGATCTCCTCGCTGTCCAAGACACTCTCAAGGGTCTTCTCCAGCACCATGTGTCATGTTTATGTCATTTTATTCTGTCCGTCTGTTGGTTTCAAAAGCTAATTTTTTGCTTCACTTGCAGGAAAATGTTGAGGGGAGTCACTGTGATCGCTGCAAGCCAGGATTCTATAACCTGGAGGAAAGGAACCCCCAGGGCTGCTCCGAGTGCTTCTGCTTCGGCGTCTCTGACGTTTGTGAAAGCCTCTCCTGGCCCGTCAGTCAGGTGGGGGCACCTTCCGAAAGCTGGGAGTGGGGAGTGTGGCAGGTGGCACGGAGATTATGAGGACAGGCACGGGGCCCGAGCTGTTTGGGGAACGGAGAGTCTAGGGGGTTGGTTTCTAGAGGGACAGCTTGCTGGTTGGAGCTTAGGGCTCTTCCCTGACCTCCCTTCTCCTTCCTTGCTAGTGCCTGGGGAGGGGGGATTCTGGTCAATACTTGAGAAGGGCTAAGTGTTCCTGTGGGTGGTCTCCTGTCATCTCTACACAGGTGACAGATTAGGAGGATAGGATCTGGAGGCTTTATATAGTGTTTGGCATTTGGCTAAGAAGCAGGGGACAGCAATGAAGAAGTCAGCATTAGCCAGAGATGTTTTATTCAGTGCATTTATTGAGTTCTTTGCTATTCTTTTAATCTGAGATATATATCCATGGCCTGTACAGTTTTGCTCATCTATTTGCTTCTAATTGACTTGGGCTTGGGGAACTTTTAGCCATGGTATGTGAACTCCATCCTGGCTGAGCTCTCTGGGTCTGCCCCTTCACTGTGAAGATGCTAGTGCTGGGCTGAGGGAAACCCAAAGAGATCCACAGATTTGAAATTCTTGGATCTTTTTTGAAGGTGAAAGATATGTCCGGGTGGCTGGTCACTGACTTGGTCAGTTCCAACCAGATCCGGTCCCAGCAGGATGCGCTGGGCGGACGTCACCAGATCAGCATCAACAACTCGGCGGTGGAGCAGAGGCTGACCTCCCAGTACTACTGGGCGGCCCCAGAGGCCTACTTGGGAAATAAGGTACTTGTGGTGATGGTGTCTCGGGCATCATTCGGGATCATTCCCGAATGATGGGAATGATCATCAAGGATCATCACCAAGGATCTCGGGAACATTCGGGAAGAACTTTGGTTGGCCTTTCATGTAGTCTCCTTGCTCTCCTGGGCATTTGGCAGAACATCACTTAGTGTTGACTCCCACGGTCTTTTTATCCCTGCTTGACTTTACCACATCATTAAAATAGGAACTTGTGTCCTTCTGGCACCATGGTGAGCCCCTGGTAGGTAGGGGGAGCCTGTCCCCTTCTCCCATACAGACTTTCTGCCTTGCTCTGGGTTCCTGGGTCACCCGGGCCTGTGTGAAGGTCCCTGGCATCCCTGTTCTGTGGAGTCAGCCATGTGCCAGCTTTGTGCTCAGTCCTGTCTGCTTCTTTGCGACCCTGTGGATTGTAGCCTGCTAGGCTTCTCCCTCCATGGGGTTTCCTAGGCCAGAATACCAGAGTGGGTTGCCATTTCCTTCTCCAGAGGATCTTCCTGACCCAGGGATTGAACCCGTGTCTCCTGCATCTCCTGCTTTGGCAGGCGGGTTCTTTAGCACTGGGCCATCTGGGAAGCCCGTACCTGTCTCGCCGGGTGTATAGAACACTCCTAGAAAGGGTGTGCAGGGGACCCCCTGCTTCTTTCTCATGATTGTTGCTCATGTGAAGTTCATGTTTAAAAACAGATAGGATCCTTTCCATTGTAAGAAAATGCTCAAAGGGGACTCTACAAAGTGGGAAGTTGGTTGATATGATTTAACTTCTGCCTTTTGTGACATGGTCCTGTCCCTCCTCACCAATTGTGCACCTTCTCCAGATTCTGATCTGAAAATATATTCAGTGGAATATCTCTTAATGGCTATGGCTCCCTGCTCGCCTTAGCCTCCGCCTCAGCCTCGCCTTTGGATTAAGTCATGGTGTAGGTATCGTGCCATAGTCCATTTCTAGTTAATATGATGGTTACATTTTAAATTTTATAGCTGTTTTGTTTATGCTTAAATGGTGTTTATTTTTTGAAAATGATTGCTTTTCCTCACTAAATTACAATCTTAGAAGTCATTTTCTGTTTAGAATGAGGTCTTATCACCAAAATTCAGTAGTTTGTGTGTCTGGGGATCACCTCTTCAATTTTTTTATGGTGCAGAAATTGGCTTCTGAACATTGTGTTGTTGTACTATAGCTGGCAGAAAAAAATCTCTCTCTCTTTTACATTAAAGGACATGCGGTCGGAGAAAACCCATAGTCCTTCCTTTGGCTGATCACACATGTGTCTGTCATTCTCCCACAAGCAGGGTGATAAAACCAAATGTTGAGACTATAGTCCTGGGGCAAACTCCCCACCCCCTGCAGTTCTTCCATGAAATTAAAGTCTGTTGTTGGACTAGCAGAAGTTCATAGTCACTTACCTCGTTAGCTCTAAGGAGGAGTGCATTTTCTGTGCATTTAAACAATATCCTGCATTTGGTGATGTCAGTTAAACAGAAGATTTGTATAACACGCTTCCTGTCCATTGCCTTTAATGTGAAGTCCTTACGTGCAGGGGCCTCGGGGACCCCTTGCAGTCTAGCAGTTTCCAGATGAGTCCTAGCCACCGTGTCCTCCGACCACACGCTCTGCTCCTTCCTCTCGGTGCTCACTGTCCCTTCATGGTTCCAGCTGACGGCCTTCGGTGGCTTCCTGAAGTACACGGTGTCCTACGAGGTCCCAGTGGACGCGGCGGACGGTGACCCCCTGTCTCATGCTGACGTCATCGTTAAGGTAACTGCTTTCTTGTCGCTGTGTTAGAGCTGAGAGGGCTTCGTCGGGGGTCAGTTTTATGACTGGAAGTGTCTAAGAGGGGGTGCGATGTAGCAAGGAGCTCAGGGCCAGGAGGGCTTTCAGCAGTGGTCTGCCTCTCAGGTCCCCAGAGACTAGGATTTCCAGAACTGCCCCGGGGGCCTCACTGTAGCTCTTCCCTTTATCCTGTAGTGGAGGTGTCTATTCTAAGGGGAGAAGGTTTTCCTCTGTGTGGGGACTGCCTGATTGGCCCTGGAGCCCCTCCGCCCCTCCGGGTGTGTCCTCCCCACTGAGTGACCAGAGTCTGGCTGGTCACAGGGTCTGGCAGCACAGGGTCTGTGTGTGGACAGGAGATGTGTCATTGTTTTTATCTTGCCTCTGTCCCCTCCATCCTTGTTCTCACTCCCGTCACAAAAAGAAACAGATAACTAATGAGAACTGACTGCACAGCACAGGGAACTCTTCTCAGAGTTCTGTGGGGACCTGAAGGAAATCCAAAAAAAGAGGGCATCTATGTATACACATAGCTGATTCACTTTGTTGTGCAGCAGAAATTAACACAACATTGGAAAGAAACTATGTGCTTAGTCACTCAGTTGTGTCCAATTCTTTGGGATCCCATGGACTGTAGCCCACCAGGCCCCTCTGTCCATGGGGATTCTCCAGGCGAGAATACTGGAGTGGGTTGCCACGCCCTCCTCCAGGGGGTCTTCCCAACCCAGGGATCAAACCCTCGTCTCCTGTGTTGCAGGTAGATTCTTTACCGTCTGAATCACCATGGGGTTTCCTAAAAGAAATGCTAATTGTCATGTCGGTCCTTGAAATTCATTTTACAAGGATTAAAATTTCTAATTAAAATAGGTATTCTCCTAATTGTTATTTGACAGACTAGGTTAACAAACTCTCCGTATAAACAAAACCTAAGGTTGTGAAAAAATGGAACATGAGCATTACCCTTGGGGGTACACACATAGGTCAGAAAACACATGATGGTGAATGGGCTCCTATTTGATTACTTTTATGACTTTTAAGAAGTGAGCATGAAAATGAAATCTTTATTTTCAGTTATTACCCACCAGTAAGAGGAAGTTAGGTTCACAGTTTTAGCTCGTGACATAAAGTGAACTAGGAGACAAATCTACATCCATCAGATACAACTAATGGACTGACTTTTAAAATCCAGGCTATCTTAAAAACTTGCAACATACCAGATATTGGTGTGTATTCTTTAGTGACAGAATGCCAGCAATGGCTGACAATGAGTTGAACTTGTGGGTTTTTAATAGGTATTTTCTTACATTGCTAGGAATCAGGAGGTTTATTAAATGCTTGTGTCCAGAAATGAGTTAAGATACTATATTCCAATAAAAATTGCAACAAAACCAAACAAAAAACTCAGCAAGGCCTTGGCCTTTGCTGTACCCCTGAAACATTGTAAATCAACTGTACTTCAGTTTAAAAAAAAGATGAGGGGTATCAGATTGGTTGCTTTGAGGAATGCTTGGTCTAGTGCTTGCCTTTGTTTCTTCTCTGAGATTAGCAGAGGCACAGTCTTTAGACTTATTATCCACATTCCTCTGAGAGGAACACATGGTTTTCTGAGAAATGAGGGGACAGTTGCCAGCAATGTTGCACCTAGTTTTCACCCTCTTGATGTTAATAGTCTTAGATTTTCACAGACTACTGAAGCTCATGAGTTCAGCCTTAGTCGTTTTGTTACTTTGAGAAGGTCTGTTTCTGGCAACACCAGTCAGAGTGTGCACAAAGAATACGGCTAAAGCAAACCAAAGAGAACTGCACACCCAGTGACATTGTCTCTGCACTAGAGAGAGTTCGACTGCCTGGGCTTGTTCTTCTGAAGTTCATTCTTTGGAAGGGGCCCCGCGGAGCCTTGCCTCAGCTGTGTTGAGCAGTAGCTTATCTTTTTCCAAATTTCGAAGGCATTTCCAGGGACTAATGACAGCTCCCAGAAAATGTTCTGTTATGAAAATCTCTTGTTACTTACAACACATTCACCTTTTTAATTAGAAAAAAAATCATTTTGTTTGAATTAAGCCTTTTTTAGGAATTCGTCTTCTTTGAGGTTTTTAGATGCTTCATGCAAGCATGTTAAGTTGTGTAACGGGCCCCATCTGTTTGTCTGTTGGTAGGTTGGATTCTGTCTCTCTGGACGTGGCCAGCCCTAACGTCATAGACCTGTCCCTGGCCACGGAGGTGGAGCACTGCGAGTGTCCCCAGGGCTACTCGGGCATCTCCTGCGAGGTAACCCTCCTCCTCCTTCCTATCTGCTTCCTTTTCTCCTTCCTATGTGGAAAAAATGCGTCAAAGGTGATGTCATGATGTACGTTTGAATTTTAATTTTGGAAACCCAGTGTTTCTAAGTTTCAGACTTTTGAGGGATCTTGGAATATAGGAAACACATTGCTTAAAGAAATCTAGGGACTTTCTTGGCTGTCCACTACTTAAGATTTGTCTATCAACACAGCAGGTGCAGGTTTGATGCCTGGTCAGGGAGCTAAGATTCTGTGTCCTTCACATCCAAAAAAAAACCAAAGGGAAGCAATAGTGCAACAAATTCAATAAAGACTTTAAAAATGGCCCACATCAAAAAAATCTTTAAAAAACTAAAAAAAAAATAAATCCAATTTCTCTGAAGCCCCTGGAAATACTCTCAGTAGGTGTCACTATCTGGCTTAGTCAGCAGGAAAGTTTCAACACCCATGCCATATTTTGCATTCCCAAGGAGACTCAAACTTCGATTGTATCTGAACATTTACCAGTTACCAACACTTGACTTTGAAAGCTTTAGCCAAGCCAGCCCTGTGTGGAGACCTTTGATGGCCCCTGGCTGTTACTTACATTGTCTCCACATCACATAGTCAGTGTATAAAACCACACTTACATTCATCGCTAAAAGTAATGTTTTGCTTAAAAATTTTGAAGTATGTTTTGAATTATTTGGACATCCATATTGATAATAACTCTCTCTTACTGAGAACTTTGTATGTATCTGGCACTGTTCTGAGCCCTTTCCACATATAACCCTGTTTAATCCTTAGAACAGCCCTATCAGGTAGGCCCTTCACATACTTTCTGTTCCACAGATGAGGAACAGAGACACAGAGAGGTTAAGGAACTTGACTGAGGTCACACAGCTAGCAAGCGGTCATATTAGGAATTGAACTCCACCCCTGACAACTGCCACGAGGTCCTCTCACATGCCCATGAATGACTGTGAACATTTGTCATTGGCTGTGATTTCTTGGCTTGCACTTTTACAAAGTGAGAACATTTAACTTATAATCTGTTTTTACCTTTACTAACTTTGTAGTTAATAAGGTTGGCCTGAAACTTCCTGATGTAGATATTTAATTAAATATTTTTATCTCTATTTTTCATATTTTGCAAAGTTTTTTTGGTATGGGGTGGGGACCAAAGACCTTTTTTTTTTTAACATCTCATTTATTTTTAGGACCAACAAGAGTTCATAGGTCCTAATCCCTGTGGGTCTCCTGCTTAATGGAAAAATGACCCTCAGATCACCTCATAGTATGTGGATGTGGGCTTAGGGGAGCCACAGGTAGTGCAGAGATAACCATGGAAGTGGGAGCCTTGCCAGCTAGACTGGGAGGGGGAGTTACTGCTGGAGGTCACGTGGGCGGGGCTTTGGAAGGCAATGTTGGTGTGAGCAGGGCTTTTGGGGGAAAGTGCTGGTGTGGGTGTGGCTTTGGAGCGAAAGTGTGGGTGTGTGTGGGATGATGCTCAGGCAGGAACAGGAAGCTCAAGTCTTCTTTGTTGGGGTTTGTGTCAAGCAGAACTCATTCTGTAATCCAACTCTTGCTCAGAAGCTGACTTAAAGAATCAGGCAGCTATTCACTGAGAATGGAATTTGGGGGAGCCCTGTAGCTGCCACACAGACCCCCAGGCGGCTGCCTGCTCAATGCGCATCTGTAGAGAAGCCTGCTGTCCCCAGGGGAGCATGGCTGCGGGAGGTGATAGGGGACATTCCCAAGATCAGTGTGAATGAAGGCATTATATGTTATTACTATAATGAAATACTCTCTAAGAATCCTTAGAACAATAGAAAACAAACCCATACCCCCTTGTGCCATGGCCCCAAGGGAGTGTGCCAGCCTCAAATTAATCATCCCCCAACCTGCACTCTGGATGCGTTTCTTGTCTGCTGTTGCCCTGGGCGGCCCGTGGACAGGGGTCTTGCAGGTGTGCACACCTGGTGTTGAATCATTGTATGAGCACCGAGGATCATAGCTAATGCTTCGTGTTTCAGATTGCATGTCTGTCAAATAGAGAGTCAATTTCTCAGGGTCGCCAGGAGGATGACATGAAGTACAGTGTCTAGGGGACTCCTTGTCCCTGAATCTCCAAGTTGTCAGACTGGCAGGAAGACCAAGGGAAGCTCACCTGTAACATTTGTTTTATTAAACTAATGCTATTTGACACAGATGTGCATTTAACACTATGATGGCAACATTTTATAATTTTAAGCAAAAGAAAAAATAGTAGAGGGAAAAATATCCTCTCCATTTGAAATATTGGTTAAATGACTATTACATGATTTCTAAGAAAGTTGCAGTGGAAAACTCCTATGATGTACGCTGGCTTACTGAATAGCTGTTAAGTTGCTGTGTACATGTTTCTGCCTTTAAAACATAAAAGGAACTGGATTATAGTGGTAGTTGCACCACTCAGTAAATTTACTGAAAAAAAAAATCATTGAATTGTATGCATCATATGGGTGCATTTTATGGCATGTTTGGGCAAAAAAATAAGTTTTCTGTTCATGGAAGACTGAGTGGTTTTTTGTTTCTAACATATTGGGGAAAAGATGATTTGCATTTTACATAAGTTACCTTCACCTGTATGGTCACCTGTTCTTCTTTTGCAGTCCTGTCTCCCTGGCTATTACCGCGTGGACGGAATACTGTTTGGAGGAATCTGTCAGCCCTGTGAATGCCACAGTCATGCATCTGAGTGTGATGTTCATGGTGTTTGCTTTGTGAGTCTGAGACCTCATGTGCCCCTTCCCCAACCTGAAGCCCTGGCTCTACTCAGAAGTGATTTTTTAAAAAATGCTTCCTCCACAGGGAACATCCCTGCCTTTGTGAACCTCAAAGGAAATCTGGAGGTTCAAGTTCAAGACATAGACTATTTCCTGCGTTTTATTTCTTTTCTTTTTTTTTTGAAGAAAAGTTGCTTTGGTAATAATAGAAAAGGGAGGTATCATTTCACTACAGGTTTTTTCTTAGGACAATAAATAATGATCTAGGTCACAAGACTAAAAAGTAACTTAAAGGTAGAAAACGTCCACTGATTAAGCAAAAAAAAGATCAGATCTTTTAAATGCAAGTGCTAGGAGATTTTAACATTATATTACATAGTATATCATAAGAAGAATAATAAGATATCTGATAATCTCACTCATTTGTGCGATATATAATGCGTTTCATCGTTGTTAGCAGATGAACTCTGCAAACAAGTTCCTCTTTCATGCAGTAGGAGTTGAAACAGGGCTTAACAAATATGTGGTTTATCTTGAGAATGAACTTTGGGGCAGATACAGGGCAAGACTTGTTTTTTAACTTCAGTCAGGAATTCTTTTAGGCTTTTGTGCCTGGGAGCCAGTCCACACTCCTAGGCGCTAATGGATTCACCAGTCAGAGATGGAATGAATGTGTATGGTAATCAGCCAAACCCTATTCACCCGCACTGCACAGAGGGAGGTTCGTGCTTTTTCCCTGCGAGATTGATTGAGTAGCAGGGCAGGGAAAATTTAATGATCAGACCCATGGGGAAGACCTCGGCGTGGTGCCGCCCATTGCTTATTCTTTCTGGAGCCTCATTTTTCTGTTTCTCTGGAAAGACAGCTTTCATTTAGCTCTTTGTTCGTGTCTTTGTTCTCTATAAGTGAAGTGTCTATAGGGTGGCGTGGAAGGATGGCTTGCACGCAGACTCAGACTTCCCACGATAAGTTCCTCAAGCTCAGCTTCCTATTGCTTGATGACGTTGTTGCTCCTTTAAAAGCTCTCTCCCTCTTCCTTTTGGGTTTGGAGGCCTCTGCCCATACTTGGGCTGGGGGGGGGGNGGGGGGGGGGGGGGGGGGGGGGGTCCACTTCCTGCACCCTCTGCCATCCAGGGTCCCAGAGCAGCTCTTTGATCCATTTTGTTACTTCAGAGGAGACCCGAGTATAGTGGTTGGAAGTGAAAGGTCTCTTGCTTCCTGTTTTCACAAATTAAAGATTTTATCAGCCAGTCTGGAAACAGGCAGCCTCTCCTCACAGAGTGTTTGGTGACTTGCTTTAGTGTTTTGCTTTTTTTTCCTGCTTGGACTGCAAGTTGTTTGTGGGTAACTCTGAGGCTCGCTCAGTGGGCCAGAGCCAAGCCTCTCCACGTGTGTCCTAGGCATGCCAGCACAACACCACCGGGGACCACTGCGAGCGCTGCCTGCCCGGCTTCTATGGACTGCCTTCCCGAGGGACCCCCGGGGACTGCCAGCCCTGCGCTTGCCCGCTCTCCACGGCCTCCAACAAGTAAGCCCGGCTCCTCCACTAGCCCGTCCTGCCCCGAGGGGCCAGGGTCCCCATCCAGACCCGAACTCATGTCTTCAGAGCAAGACCTGTGTGCCATGAGAGTGTGAATTTGCCCCATGGTAATTAACTGGGACTAGAGATGGAGGAAGAGACTCTGTCTTTTAAAAAAAGTTTGACATATTGAAGTATATAAGGCAAGTTGTGTGGTGGCAAGGACATTTGCCTGCCTTTTTTCCTCTTGGTCTAATGTTGATCATCACTTCCTTCAGTGTGTGTGCCTACCAGTGGGCTAGGAAGTAGAGGGGGACATGGATATGAATAAAACTTGTTCCTGGGCTTCAGGAATATTTGAGCTGATGACCAAAATATGTAAATATGAGGCTCATTGGGAATGAACTGAATTCATTAAGTTGATTCAACAAATCTTTATTGAGTGCCTGGTATGTGCTGGGTATCATGGTAGGTGTCCTGAGCATCAGACTGTTCAGCCATGACTGCTGGCACCATGGCATCCACTGTGTGATCATGAGGACAGGGGAAGTATATCCACTGTGCAGGGGGCATCTACCAGGGGCGATGCCCTGAGGAACCTCTCAATCTGAGACTTGAAGGAGGAGAGGAAATTGGAAGTGAACTTGCTCTTGGCCAGTGTGGGCAGCTCTGAGGCAGGCAGCCCAGCCCCAGGGACTGGAGGAGAGGAACTTGGCTTGAGCATCAGAGCCGGCCTCCTGGAGGAGACCGCTGAGGAGGGCATAGAGGGTGAGCCGGTGAGCCCAGACAGAGTGGGAAGAATCGCAGCCCAGGCCAAGGGACAAACTGGGAGTGTCTAGTGCCCACCAGGTGGGCCGTGTGACTGGGGGCCTTCATTTCTGGGCTAAGGAGTGAAGGTATGTAAGGACAGGAGTGATGGAAGTCAAGCACTTTAATATTTAGGAGTTCTGCACCATTCACTGGAGAAGTGCATTCATCTCTGCTGCTTTGTCAGTTTCAGCCCCACCTGCCACCTGGATGATGGGGACGAAGTGGTGTGTGACCAGTGTGCCCCGGGATACACGGGGGATTGGTGTGAGAGGTACTCCTTCAACTCAACCGGTTTCCAAAAATGTTTACAATGAATCCTGTGTTTGTTTTTAAATGTGTAGTTACGTGTGGCTTTATAGTTTTTGATATGTAATTATTATTTTATAGACTCAGAGAAGCCAGTCTATCAATTAGAAAATTAATGTTGAAAGCCCATGGGAATACTTTGATCTCTCTGAGCTAACCTGAGTTCTCATCAGTAACAATGGGAAACAGCCAGGAGTTCGTACGTCTGTTCATACATTTGAATGTCCTTTTACTCTGGATAATTCCACAAGTGAGAGCTAGTTTGATAGAAGTGTCTCCTGGCGCCTGGAGGCCAGGGGTTGTCTTTCCCATGTGAGTCTTGGTGCCAAGTCCAGCTGGTCTCCATGGGAGGTGGCCTCCCTGAGTGGTGGGATGTGGGCAAGTTGCCCGGGTCCGGAGCCTGTCCCAGGAGATTGTTGGCTTATTTGTACATATTCCCCATGCCTGACAATGAGTGATGGGATCTGTGAATGCCTGAACGGGGAGCCGCGTTCCTCTCACAGTAAATCTTAGGTAAAGAGTCAGTCTGATTGATTAACCACTCAGAGAGTCCCTGGATGGTGGGGTGCAGTCTACAGTAATTGCATTTGTGCACATCTCTGTCTCCATCTTTTATACAGATGTGCAGACGGTTACTATGGAAACCCAACAGTGCCCGGAGACTCCTGCGTCCCATGCAACTGCAGCGGCAACATTGACCTCTTGGAGCCTGGGAGCTGTGATTCCGTCACCGGAGAATGCCTGCGATGCCTTGGGAACACCGACGGCCCCCACTGTGAGAGGTGTGCTGACGGTTTCTACGGGGATGCGGTGACTGCGAAGAACTGCCGTGGTGAGTGTGTGGGCTGTTGCAGTTGAGTCCACTCCTTGTGAAGACTCCACTCATCTCGTTCTCATGCTCAGTCGCTAAATCATGTCGGACTCTTTTTTGACCCCATGGACTGTAGCCCACCAGGCTCCTCTGTCCATGGGATTTCTTAGGCAAGAGTACTGGAGTGGGTTGCCAGTTCCTCCTTCAGGGAATCTTCTTGACCCAGGGATTGAACTTGAGTCTCCTGCATTGGCAAATGGATTCTTTACCCCTGAGCCACCGGGGAAACCCCTCCATCCATCTACCTACCATCAAACAGTGCTTGCCCAGGAGGTCACTTGACCCCATCTGCACTGGATTAGCTCGACCAGGTACTCCAAATGGAGGTCATGTGGCCTAGAAAAGACTCAGCCTCCCATTTCAGGAGGAAGTGGTGCTCATAGAGTGCTGGCACTGCTCCCAGGGACGGCGGAGGTGAAGGAAGCCTGTCCTGTTTGTCAGGTAGATGCTAAGGGCTTCTTGAGGCAGATGGGATTTCAAGATGTGGAGTGGGAAATGGGTAGACCCTCGCCCCCAAATTGGCACATCTCAGCGGTCTTTGCCTGAACTGCTGACTCCACGTCGATCTGCAGGGCTCAACTCAGACCCTTGAGATGACAGACCATGCAGAATCAGTTACTGAGAAAAGCAAATTTCAAATTCCCAGGATGACAGACTTATAGCCTTAGGACTGATATAGCTCTCAGATTTATTTTTTGCATGGTTCTTGAAAAAGGAATGAAAGAGTAAAAATTGCAGTGATATGTTATTTTGATGCATGCATGCTAAGATGCTTCAGTTGTGTCTGACTCTTTGTGACCCTGTAGACTATAGCCCTCCATGGGATTCTCCAAGCAAGAATACTGGAGGGGGTTGCCATGCCCTCCTCCAGGGGATCCTCCCCACACAGGGATCGAACCCATGTCTCTTATATCACTTGCATTGGCAGGCGGGTTCTTTACCACTAGCACTACCTTTTTGATCGTGAAATGGCTCAGTCATGTCTGACTCTTTGCGGCCCCATGGACTGTAGCCTGCCAGGCTCCTCCGTCCATGGGATTTTCCAGGCGAGAATACTGGTGTGGGTTGCATTTCCTTCTCCAGGGGATCTTCCTGACCCAGGGGTTGAGCCCGGCTCTCCTGCACTGCAGACAGACTCTTTACCATCTGAGCCACCAGGGAAGCCCCTTTTGATGATTTCACCTTTTTGATAATTTCCTATAAATACTGAAGCCCTTCTGTGCTATTACAACGTAGAGACACAAGAGGGAGCCAGTGATACAGAAAACATGCTGCCCTAGGAGCACAAGAGATGAACAAGGTGTTATTCGCCCTGGGGCTATGAACCTGAGGTTCAGCACCTTGATTGATTATCATAGGACATGATAATTATCATAATTATGATAACCTGTAATTGTGTAAAGCTTCAAAGTTAACAGAATGCCTTCACCATTCTCATGGCTTTTCTTTTTGTGCTTATTGTAAACCTTGATGATAGTTCATTTGTCATTTATTGCATGTCTGTTACTTCCCAGGCACGATGCTGAGTATTGTGATGGGAGTTGGAACTTTATCAGACTTGAAAATCCCAAGTCTAGTGGGGAGCTTATACAGGATGGTGTAGCAGGGAAGCACATGTGTGGATTCAGGGCTTTAGGGTCTGAATAACAGGGTAGCGTCCAGGGTTACATGGTCACCAAGCAGCCATGTGATATCAGGCAAATTTATTAACTTCTCCTAGCTGCTATTTCCTCATGCTTAAAATGGACATAATTATATGTGTACACTAGGCCTTTCTGAAAAATAAATGGGATAACAAATTTAAAGTTCTAGACAGTAAATAAATGGTAGCAATTATAATTGCTAGCAATAAGAGCAGTAATTTTTTATCATTTTTCTGTATCAATAGTGTCTGATAGAAATGTAAGCCATACGTGTGATTGAAAATTTTCTAAGAACCACCTTTTAAAAAGTATAAAGAAATAGATGAAATACATTTTAATAACACATGTATTTAACTCAATATATAGAAAGTGTTATTTTATCATGTAATCAAGTTTTCAAAGTGTTAATGAGATGACTGCTTTCTTTTTTTAATTTAATTTTTTGTTTGCTTTCTTTTTTTTTAGTTCATTTGTCATTTATTGCATGTCTGTTACTTCCCAGGCACGATGCTGAGTATTGTGATGGGAGTTGGAACTTTATCAGACTTGAAAATCCCAAGTCTAGTGGGGAGCTTATACAGGATGGTGTAGCAGGGAAGCACATGTGTGGATTCAGGGCTTTAGGGTCTGAATAACACAGGGTAGCGTCCAGGGTTACATGGTCACCAAGCAGCCATGTGATATCAGGCAAATTTATTAACTTCTCCTAGCTGCTATTTCCTCATGCTTAAAATGGACATAATTATATGTGTACACTAGGCCTTTCTGAAAAATAAATGGGATAACAAATTTAAAGTTCTAGACAGTAAATAAATGGTAGCAATTATAATTGCTAGCAATAAGAGCAGTAATTTTTTATCATTTTTCTGTACCAATAGTGTCTGATAGAAATGCAAACCATACGTGTGATTGAAAATTTTCTAAGAACCACCTTTTAAAAAGTATAAAGAAATAGATGAAATACATTTTAATAACACATGTATTTAACTCAACATATAGAAAGTGTTATTTTATCATGTAATCAAGTTTTCAAAGTGTTAATGAGATGACTGCTTTCTTTTTTTAATTTAATTTTTTGTTTGCTTTCTTTTTTTTAAATGATGAGTCTTCAAAATTCAATGCATCTTTTATAGCCCATCCTAATTAGTGTGGGCTTCCCAAGTGACTCAGTGGTAAAGAATCGGTCTGCAATGCAGGAGGCACAAGAGACCCAGGTTCAATCCCTTAGTAGGGAAGATCCCCTGGAGAAGGAAATGACAGCCCACTCCAGTATTCTTGCCTGGGAAATCCCATGGACAGAGGAGCCTGGTGGGCTTCAGTCCATGGGGTTGCAAGAGTCTAACACGACTTAGTGACTAAACAACAACAATAATAAGGATGCTAAAGTTTCATCAGAACTACTTGATATACATATAGGTTACATAAAATTTAGTGTTCAAACACATTTACAAGTTTTCCATCATATTTCGCTTTATGTACATCCAACCTGACATAGCTGTGTGATCTATGGTAAATTACATCATCTTTCTAAGTCTTAGGTTTCTCACCAAAGAGAAAAATGTTAGTGCTCCCCTTCTGCGTTTGTTATGAAGGTTAATTCATTTATTTCACATTTTGACTGTAACATGACAGACACAAGCTGACGGGTGTATGCCCTGCAAAGCCTGCCACACACAGTGTGCCTGGGCCTGAGATATTTCATGACGTTTTTCTTACATGATTATGCCATCGGACAGAGAGTGTGCATTTTCTAAGCCCAAGCATTCCTAGATAGTACACATCCTGGGATGTCTTGTCGGACACATATTACAAATTTTAAATGAGGTGCATATTGACAGCTGTGGTATGAGTATCAATTAAACCTTTCTTGGACTCGTTAAATTGCATCACTTTGATAAGGTGAGGGACTCTGTAGCTTTAAACATCAATATTCTGGCTGGAGATGAAACTGCAACCTCAGGCCTGAACGCCTGAGTCAAAGGACTCAGCTCTTAGAATAAGAAATATTTCAAATTAAATCGTGAACTATAATATTACTTATCTACATGGCTGTAACTCAACTTAAAATATTTATATATGATTGAAATGAGCAAATGGCTAAATCGATTTTGAAATCTTCTTGCATGTTTTTTATGAAGATTGGTTGATATACATAGGCAGCTCATTTTAAAAACTTCAAGGAATTCATGAAATTGGTTAAGCTCATTTGCAGATTATTACCTTAATAGTTTCAGTACATTTTTTTCTCTGTGATGGTTCCTTCCACCAACCTTATTTTGGCTCACTCAGAAAAAGAGTAAATTTTTAAAGTTATTGCAAAGCAATCATTTTGTTTTCATTTTCCGATTTGCAACATGAATGTGTAAGATTTCTCCTTTGGGGATTAAGGGATTATATAAGAGCCATATCCAGAGATAGGCACAAATACGTCTTCTGTGTGTGTTAGCCTGTGAATGTCATGGCCAAGGCTCCCTTTCTGCCATCTGCCACCCGGAAACTGGACTCTGTGGCTGCAAACCACACGTGACCGGACAACGGTGTGACCAGTGCTTGGTAAGATGCTTCCAGGTCCTCGCGTACAGTTCGTGTGTGTGTCAGTGTTGACGTCTGGAACTGGTTCAGATGAAATGGGATCACGACTGGCAGAAAGAGTGGGTGTCTGCAGCACGGTGGTGGGAGCAGCTGGGCATCCCCGTCTGGAGAGTGTGTATTAGTTCCCAGGGAGGGGGGATGGGGTCATGAGTCCTTTGTGAGCTCGTGACACGTGCAGGTGCTGATTTGAGAAATGTTCTAGTAGGTACTTTTGTTTTTGTCATTTAGTCCCTAAGTCGTGTCCAACTCTCTGCCACCCTGTGGACATCGGCATGCCAGGCTCCTCTGTCCTCCGCTCTCTCCTGGAGTTTGCTCAAACTCATGTCCCTTGGGTCGGTGGTTAGTAGGTTGCTGCTGCTGCTAAGTCGCTTCAGTCGTGTCCGACTCTGTGCGACCCTATAGAGAGCCCACCAGGCTCCTCTGTCCCTGGGATTCTCCAGGCAAGAATACTGGAGTGGGTTGCCATTTCCTACTCCAATGCGTGCATGCATGCATGCATGCTAAGACGCTTCAGTCTTGTCTGACTCCCTGCGACCCCATGGACGGCAGCCCATCAGGCTCCTCTGTCCACGGGATTCTCCAGGCAAGAGTACTGGAGTGGGTTGCCATTTCCTTCTCCATTAGTCAGTACTAGTCACTGACTAAAATCTATTCTGTCTTCCTCCGCTCTGCCCCCATGAAACAGTACGGCTACTATGGGCTGGACACGGGGCTCGGGTGCCTGCCCTGTAACTGCAGTGCCGGCTCCCTGTCGGATGACTGCACGGCGGAAGGCCAGTGTCTCTGCATCCCGGGTGTGGCCGGGGAGAAGTGCGACAGGTGTGCCCGTGGCTTCTATTCCTACCAGGACGGTGGCTGTACACGTAAGCACTGGGATTCGGCATTTCAGACTTCCCTGTAATGCCTAAACTTTTCTTCTTCGACTTCGGACTAATTCTGTTAAGTTCCTTTACGTTTTTTCTTTGCATGTAGGATTTCATCCCTTTTTTTCTGTCTCCTGATCCCTGTTCTGGGAAGTCCATAAGCCTTGGTCAGGCTGTACTAACTGTGTGCTTAGGCTAATGACTTTCCTCAGCTTCGGTCTCCTCATCCGGAAGGAGGAGAGGCCGATTAGACTCCATCCAGGAGTTACTGTCAAGGTGGTGCTTGGAGTTCTTGGCACAGTGATTGGCACACCGAGGCTCAGTAAGCGTTAGCTGTCTGCCCTCCCCACCTGCGGAGGCCTTGCCTGGCCTTCTCTCTGTTTCTCCTCTGCCTCCTGATCATCTCTCATGCATCAGCCTCTCTTCAACAAGGAGGAGCCTCCACCTCTCATGAGACGTGGTGGGGTCCTGGGGATCATGAGGTCTGTTCAGAAACTACAAGAGTGGTTGAGATTATTAACACAGGCAGACACTGCAGCAGCAGCATCTTGACTCCTTTGGTTGACCCGATGGTCCTGATTCCTAACAAGACCCCATATCTCTCTCATAGCCTGCGACTGTGCTCACACCCAGAACTCCTGTGACCCAGAGACCGGGGAGTGTGTGTGCCCACCTCACACTCGGGGTGCAGCGTGCGAGGAGTGTGCAGACGGACACTGGGGCCACGACCTCGAGCTCGGATGCCAGGTGTGCGGGGTCACCTGCGTGTTTTCCCAACTGAGAATTACTTCGCTGTATCAGGCTTCGTTCTTTTCCTTTTATCTATGTGCTTAATTTTAACCTGTTTGAGTAGCTTTATGGTTTCTAGTCATAACTCAGCACCTATGGTAGGAATCAAAGTGGAAGACGTGACATCCTTAAAATACAATATTCTAAATTTTCTTCAAGAGCCTACCTTGGAGAAATTGATGGGTTGGTATATGAAAATTTTATTTTCCTGCCTTTTAAATATATCCTGCAATATATGCTATCTTCCAGGAGAAGGACATAAAGTGCTTTCCTGGGGCGGGGCACATATGTCCATCTTCAGCAGTTCTATTTTCTGTGTTACTTTTGTCTGTTAAACTTGGAGTTTGCGTTTTGAAAACAGGGGGAAAATTCCTCGAGATCTAAAATGATTTTGCTGGACTGCTTTGACCTACTAAGTAGATTGAATTTCAGTCTGCAACCGTGGCCCAGCATGCATGGGTTCAGTGATGTCTTTCTTTTCCTTTTATCTATGTGCTTAATTTTAACCTGTTTGAGTAGCTTTATGGTTTCTAGTCATAACTCAGCACCTATGGTAGGAATCAAAGTGGAAGACGTGACATCCTTAAAATACAATATTCTAAATTTTCTTCAAGAGCCTACCTTGGAGAAATTGATGGGTTGGTATATGAAAATTTTATTTTCCTGCCTTTTAAATATATCCTGCAATATATGCTGTCTTCCAGGAGAAGGACATAAAGTGCTTTCCTGGGGCGGGGCACATATGTCCATCTTCAGCAGTTCTATTTTTCTGTGTTACTTTTGTCTGTTAAACTTGGAGTTTGTGTTTTGAAAACAGGGGGAAAATTCCTCGAGATCTAAAATGATTTTGCTGGACTGCTTTGACCTACTAAGTAGATTGAATTTCAGTCTGCAACCGTGGCCCAGCATGCATGGGTTCAGTGATGTCCAGCAACGTGGGTCCTGTCTCTTGATGGCTTGTGTCGTGAGTCCAAAAAGCAATAGTGAGAGAGGTCCGTTTGCTTGTATGGTTTCTCTAGGTTTCCTGTCGTCCCCCCTATGTACACATTATGAAAATGTAAAAGCTACCTTTTGATTTATTTCACTGTTTTCTCTTCCAGGCCTGTAATTGCAGTAGTGTGGGGTCAGCCAGCCAGCAGTGTGATGTAGTCACTGGCCATTGCCAGTGTAAGCCTGCATTTGGTGGACAGACCTGCAACCAGTGCTCCCCAGGGTACAAAGGCTTCCCCGACTGTGTGGCCTGTGACTGTGACCCGAGGGGGACCCTGGCTGATGCCTGTGACCAGGAGCAGGGTCTCTGCAGCTGTGCCCAGGAGACCGGAGCCTGCTCTTGCAAGGTACAGGCCTTGGCCCCACTTCCTTTCCACCTTCTCACTCGTCATCATGACTTCGGGGCTTTCACTATTTAAATAAGCACTAGACGCTTCTCAAAATGAGTTTGCACCACCTTCTGGGTCTGAGGTTAAATTCTGTGTGTGCTCTTCTAGAGTGATGGATGATGCTTTAGATGGAATTTGTACAGTTTATTACAAGTGTCAGATGATGGAACTGATTTGAAAACCACGCCGAGTTTTCTATCATGTGTTCCAGTTGGCTGATTAGCCAATCTGTCTTGAATATACAGGTGACATAGATAACAGGGCTTCAGGAAGATGTGTGGTTGTTCAGCTGGTAAGTAACTATTCTGTTGTGCCTGCTGGGCAGACTGGAGGAAATTTGCATTGATTATTTCACCAGGAGGTTAGATTTCAACATCATACCTAACTCTGTGTATTTTCATTCATTTTCCCATTGTGCTTTGTCACTAGAAGGTCCTTGACCACTCTCTCTGGTCCTTTCCTTGGGTCCAGGAGATGGAATCCTGGCCCTGGGTTGACTGGTGGTGGGGGATGAAGGAGGGGAAACTCAAGTGGATCGGGGGTGATGGGTCCTCAGTGGATGCGTGCTCGGTTCCCCGTATCTATGGTCTCAGTTCTCACCAGAGACGGTCAGTGCAGGACAATCGGCCCAAGGCTCTTCACCTGACTGCTCACCAGTCCCTTGGGGACTCACTCCAGGAGGATCTGGGCCCCCTCCTGGGAACTCACTAGGGTGTCTGCATTTTCCTGAAGCTTCCGAGATGATTCAGATGATCAGCTGAGCCTGGGAATCACTGATTCTGAGAGAACTGATGCTCAGAGAGGTTGAGGCGCAAGCCTAAGAAGCAGCTGGTTCATCCATGCCTGTTCATCCAAAATGGTTTCTTTGATTTCATTTCTGTTTGTTCAGAAACAGAAGTAGAAGTGAGTCTATCGCTTTGTCCCCTTAGGAAAATGTCGCTGGTCCTCAGTGCGGTGAGTGCCGAGCTGGCAGCTTTGCTCTGGACGAGGCGAACCCTCGGGGATGCACGTCCTGCTTCTGCTTCGGGCTGTCGCAGCTGTGTTCGGAGGCCGAGGGCTATGTGAGGACGCCGGTGAGTCACACGCGCGTTCAGCTTTCTTTTTTTGACCCTTACCCTTGGGAGCTGGGTGCAGGTGAGAGAGACTGTCAAGTACTTGCTTTGCATTTTCCTTTTACTGTGTCAGAAATTCTAGGAAGCTACCTTGAGATCATTAAGAATCAGAACTCTAGGATTTCCCTGGTGGTCCAGTGGCTAAAGACTTCGAGCGCTCAATGCAGGGGGCCCAGGTTTGATCCCTGGTCAGGGAACTAAATCCTGCATGCCACAGTAAAGATCCCACGAGCTGCAGTTAAGACCTGTGAGGCCTAAAAAATATAAGACTCAGAGCCCTGCCTCAGCTGTCCAGGAAGTAATCGGAGCAGGAACGAAGATGTCAGTGTAGCTCTGTGCTAACCTGCCCGCAGCTTTAGTTGGAAGATGAAGTTGCAGTGTCTCAGTGGCCTCCTTCATGTAGCTGAGCGTTGCCCAGTATAGCACTTTCAGTTCATTTTAGTCTGGATGTTTACATTTAAAAGAAAAGCCTTTCTTACTCCTGTTTGAGTAATGAAGCAATCTCGGCTGAAACAGCAAAGCCTCTGAGGTCCGAGGTGCGGAGTTCATTCATGCTCTGAAGTGGCTTTCTCCTCCCCTTCCTGACTAGGTGATGCTGGGCTCAGATCAGCCTCTCCTGCGTGTGGTTTCTCAGAGTAACCTCAAGGGCACAACCGAGGGGGTGTACTACCAGGCCCCCGATGTCCTGCTCGACGCCGTGACTGTCAGGCAGCAGGTCCACGCGGAGCCGTTTTATTGGCGGCTGCCCGGGCAGTTTCAGGGAGACCAGGTGAGACAAGCACCCAGCCTAGAGCCCCGTCCACCTTTCCTGGGGGCAGAGGTGCCCCTGGAAGTCACGAGGGCCTGGGTTGGCCTATTGCTAACTAGAGTGGGTGTTAGTCTCCTCTTCTGCGAGGGGATGGAGTGGTTAACACTTAGAAAAAGTCCTCCAGATGAATGGTTCTTTTAACATTTCCATTAATTTTAAGGGGCTTCCCTGGTGGCTCAGATGGTAAAGAATCCTCCTGCAATGCCAGAGACCCAGGTTCAATCCCTGCGTCAGGAAGATCCCCTGGAGAAGGGAATGGCTACCCACTCCAGTATTCTTGCTGGAGAATCTCCATGGACAGAGGAGTCTGACAGGCTACAGTCCATAGGGTCACAAAGAGTTGGACAAACAACTTAGCACACACACACATCAATTTTTAAAAGTCTTTTCAAGTGAAAGTCATATTCTTTTTCTCCTTTTTAAAGTAATCACCAACAAGCATTTATTTTATTTTATTTTTTACTAATAGAGGCTCAGAACAAGCCTGGGTGCTATGGCCTAGGAGGGTCTTCTCAAGAATTTGTCACCTATTTGTGGGGAAGAAAAGAAACTTGAAGACATCGTTTGCATTTTTGCTTATATAAATACATGAATCTGTGTGTGAATTCATCCTGATTTTTGAAACTTGGAAATATGTGCTCCAATGGTTATAGATCATGTTTAATTCAAAGGAGCTTAAAAATCATTAGAATGACTACTTTGTTACTTTGGAGCTCACGTTTGTTGGCATCATCAAGAGAAAACGTTGGGAGGTGATGGGTTTGACTGTGACTTTGATGGTGGTGGTCGTGGTTTCAAGGGTGTACTTATCCCCAACCCATCGACTTGTATTCAGTACATAAATGCAGCTTTTTATAACCAAACACACCTTTATAAAGTGGTTTTTTAAAACTTTTAAAGGATTGTGTACTTAAGAACTATAGCTTGGATCAACTTAAGAATCTGGAACTAAGTAGAATTAGAAGGAAGCACATGTCAAACAACATATTACACTCACATGATGTATTTTTAAGAGACAAGATTTCCTTCAAATAGCAGTAGGCTTATGCTGAAATATCTTTAAACCAAGGCTACGTCAGAGACGTAAACACCACTGTTCTCTCCGACAGCTCCTGGCCTACGGCGGCACTCTGCGCTACAGCGTGGCCTTCTATGCTTCCGATGGGATCGGCACTTCCAACCTGGAACCTCAGGTGCTCATCAAAGGAGGCCGGACCAGGAAGCAGGTCATCTACGTGGATGCACCAGCCCCCGAGAACGGAGTGAGGCAGGAGCAGGAAGTGGGGATGAAAGAGGTGACTGAGTGCTCTTTCTACATACACTCAAGCTGGGAACTCTGTTCTGCATGTAATGAAACCATGAAGTTTCTGTAATAAGGAGAGAGTGAAGAAGAAGGCTTTGGGTCGAAATTCCAACAGGTTTAGCAAGATTTCTAAAAGGATTCAAATTTCTGTTCTCAAGAAATGCATATGAGGCTCATGTTAATTTAGTGTGAATTGCAGTTTAAATCCTTTATCTGAGTACAGGAGTCTCAGCCGTATGGATATAATGGTTCTGGGTTTTTGGATGCCCTTGAGTTTGGGATGTGTGTGTTCCTTCCTCCAGGAGAGGTCTACTGATTGTTCTCTGTGTGGCTGGCCCCAGGGAGATATTACAAGGTTGTTGATAAATGAGGTGGTGGGACTACTGCACCCAGCAAGTGACAGGAGAGCTTCCGTAGTTAAATTTAGGGTCACATACAGAGCTGGGCTTACTGCTGGAGAAATCTCTAAAGGAATTAAGTTCATGGGCCTCTGAGGATCTGTACCCTGACTTTAATTGAATTTGCTTCTCATCTGCAGAATTTTTGGAAATATTTTAACTCTGTTTCTGAAGAGCCTGTCACACGCTCAGATTTTATGTCCATTCTTAGCAACATTGAGTACATCCTCATCAAAGCCTCTTATGGCCAAGGCTTACAGCAAAGCAGGTACTTGGAAATTTCTAGAATTTTTAATATGTCTTTCTTATTTGAAAGCAAACCTTAAGGACTTGGTTCACATCATCTCCCATTACCCCATGTTGTTTATATATATATATTTCTGTTCCTCACCAAAATCTTATTAAATATTAATATTATTAGGAAGTATGTGAAAATGACATAGATTATCCATCTCCTATAGTAATGTGGATATAACTTGTAAGTACGTGAGGATGATACCTTTCATATAAGCAACAAAACAGTTCTACCGTTTTCTGCCCTTCAACTGCAAGGCCCATTCTTTGTCACANGTGAAAATGACATAGATTATCCATCTCCTATAGTAATGTGGATATAACTTGTAAGTACGTGAGGATGATACCTTTCATATAAGCAACAAAACAGTTCTACCGTTTTCTGCCCTTCAACTGCAAGGCCCATTCTTTGTCACAGTGCATCAAGAATGCCATCCCTTGCTCATCTAGTATCATAATACTTATCCCATAAAAAAAGCCACCTAAGTTATGGCCAGACTAGTACTTCGAGTTCTTTCAGGTGTGCTTTCTCTAACATTGTTCTTAAGTTCTGAAAATTTGGCCAAGGTCTTGCCCTGTGGAATAACTAATGCACTTTTTGTGTGTTTTTACCCATTTCCTTTATAAGTGGGAACAGGAACTACCCTCCACCTGGCAGGAAAGTTCTGGTTTTCTAGGTGTGCCAACATGATTGTGTAATATGCTGTTTCTGAAAACTCTCTTTGTAAATATTAGTGCCTGCTTTCACACTTCTCAACCCAATGGTTTCACAGAATCTCAAATATTTCAATGGAGGTCGGCAGAAAGGCGGAAGAGTCACACGCAGGCAGGGAGGTGGCCTTCCTGTTAGAGAAGTGTGTGTGTCCTCCTGGCATGGCTGGACTCTCGTGTCAGGTAGGAGACAGTGGTTGAAACCTGGTTCCTGGTTTGGGGTTGAAATATGCTTGTTACAGCAGTTCTGAGTGATGAATAGCACTGTGCCTTTCTATTGTCATTTTTTTTTCCCTTTTAAAAATTACTTGTGGTAACCATAGGCATTTATCATCTTGACTATTTCCAAACTGTGCAGTTCAGTAGCGAGTGGGTCAGTTCACTCACCCTGCTGTACAACCAATCTTCAGAATTCTTCATCTTATAAAACTGAAACTCTGTACCCATTAAACACTTACCCCTATGCCCATTCCCAGACTTGCCCTTCTAGTTTCTGTCTTATGAAACCGCTACTCTAGGTCCTTCATGTAGGTGGAGTCAAGCAGTATTTATCTTTTGGTTGCTGGCCAATTTCACAGGGCATGATGCCCTCAAGATTCATCTGTGTTGTAGCCCGTGTCAGAATCTGCTTCCTTCTTAAGGTTGAATAACATTCCACTGGATGGATGTACCACATTGTGTTTATCCATCCATCCATTAGTGGACATTTGAGTTGCTTTCACCTTTGGCTATTGTCAATAATGCTGCTACAAACATGGGTGTACAAATATGTCCAAGACCCTGGATTCAGTTCTTTGGGGTTTATACCCAGAAGTAGAATTGCTGGATCATGCAATAACCCTTTAGCTTTTGGATGAACCACCATACTAACCATCATACCGCTTCCCACAGCGACACACTTCTTTGTTCCCACCAGCAAAGCAGCAGCGTTCCAGTTGCTCTTCCTCCCTGCCAACACTTATTATCTTCTGGGGTTTTTTTGTTTTGTTTTTTGATAGTAACCATGTGAGCTGGCATCTCATGGTGGTTTTGATTTGCACTTCCATGATGATTAGTGATGCTGAGCATCTTTTCATGTGCCAGTCATCAATGCATCTTCTCTGGAGAAATGTGTATTCAAGTCCTCTGCCCATTTCTTAATCGGGTTTTTTGTTCACTTCCTTCCCTTTTGCATCCCTCCAGGACTGTGCACCTGGTTACCACAGAGGGAAGCTTCCAGAAGGTGATGGCAGGAGACCACGCCCTCTGCTGGCCCCGTGTGTGCCCTGCAATTGCAGCAACCACAGTGACACCTGCGACCCGGAAACCGGGAAGTGTCTGGTACGCTGGTTTGTGTGGGTGCTTGCCTGACGCTCACAATTACAGCGGGCTCTGAGTGTCTCCTTTTCTGGTTTGAGATCACACCAGTTCCTTGATTTTTAGAGTATTTAAATTTAGCTAAATGTAAGGTACACAAATATTTCCTTCAGAAAGGTCTAGCTAAGTGGCCTGACATTTTCGGTGGGAATTCTTTTATAAATTCTTTGAATTTGTTTATGGTTATAAATTTGGAAATTAGTTAAATGTCTCTTGTTTTTGCTTGCAGTAGAGGTGGTACATGAGAACTCTCTGTCATAGAATTTGAAGGGTCACCTGGATGTTTTTAGATGAGTTAAGGCCAAAGTTGAAAATGTATTTCTCTATGTAAAATATTGCTTTCTCCTTGCCTTTAACAAAAAGTACATGTTTTGTCTTAGTGGGCATTTGCTTCCTGGCTGTCTCCCCCTAGACCATCAGTGACATAAGGAGAGCTGTGACCACTGGAAAGGACCAAGAACCTCAGACAGAAGCCTTGTGACCTTGACTGAAGACAAACTCTTGTGTCCAGGGTTTTGCTTTAGCCAACAAGATCTTGATAACACAGAAAAATCTGATATTTTTTCCCTACTCCTGAAATCTCATTCTTTATGACAACTCATGTGGGAACATTGGTTCCCTGTCTAAATTGTGCCAAGACTGACTTGATGCAAGGAAAATAGCTCATTCAAGGAAAATGAGCTGCCCACCAAGACACACCAAAGCCTCCTAGACCCTGGCTGTAGCCTCGTCACAGGAACCAGGGCTCCCACAGCAGATTTGTCTTCCTCTTCTTTTGTTCGGAAGCATCTTTCATATGCAGAATTTAAAGGCAATCTCCCCTGGGAAAACTGTTAAACCATAGCCATGCACAGGTGAATTTAAAAACCGAAATGCTGCATGGATTTTCTCAGTTAAAAAGATGTGTGCTCACCTTTGCTGACTCCATTAGATATCTGGGATTAAAGAATTGTTCCAGTCATTCACGGTAAAATGAAGATACAGATAGCTACAACACTATTAAAAAATTTATTCATTCTAATCAGTTCATGCCCCAGGCAAAAGTAAAGTCCTAATACCAAAAACAAGAAAATCTTACTTAAGGATTTAAGGAGAATTGATTTCAGGCAACTTCGGGCAAGATGTAATTAGCTAGGAAGGTCCCTTGGCCCATCACAGAGACAAAGGTCATGTGGATAGTTGGGGGAATTCATGGTTCTTTCGTGATGCATCTTTCCTTGGGGCAGCTAATCATTTAACAAGATTAGGTACTCTTAGGGGCACTGAATGGGCTTCTCAGGTGGTGCTAGTGGTAAAGAACCCGCTGCCAATGCAAGACATGTGGGTTCGATCCCTGGGTCATGGCAACCCACCCCAGTATTCTTTTTTTTCCCCCATTTATTTTTACTAGTTGGAGGCTAATTACTTTACAATATTGTAGTGGTTTTTGTATTCTTGCCTGGAGAATTCCGTGGGTAGAGGAGCCTGGTGGGCTACAGTCCATAAGGTCATGAAGAGTCGGACATGATTCAGTGACTCAGCATGCACACACACAGTGGATGAATGAATGCAGTCTTACAGTGAATGAAGGCCGCAGAGCTGCCAAGTTCAGGAATTTTAAAATATGACCAAAAATGCTCACTCTCCCTTGAGAATTAAAAAAAAAACTGTCAACTGATGTGAATTGGGGGTGTTGCTGGGCTGTCTCCAGATGAGAAGGTGTTCTAACGGTTTCCTGTTGTGTTCCTCTCCTTTTGAAACGTGGGATCCCAGAACTGTGGCCACAACACCTCTGGCAGCCACTGTGACACGTGTGCCCCTGGGTACTATGGGAAGGTGACCGGCTCGGCCAGTGACTGCTCTCCGTGCGCCTGTCCTCACGGCCTGCCTGCCAGGTGAGCACACAGGTGTGCTGGCATGCCTGCACCGCCCACCGCTGAAGCTGGATTGCTTCCACGGCCAGCTTCGCTTTCCAGGGTTTCCGTGTGAGCCATCTTAGTGGATCCTCTTCGTGTGTCCAGAAAAACGCATTTTAAGAAAAAATGTTCATTCTCCCAGTATTCAAAGAGAATCTTTGCAAAAAACAATGCGTTAGTACTGAAAGTTAGAATGAAACTAATAAAAGAAAGGAAGCTCAGGTTTGGTTTTTTTGAAGACTAATTTTAGCCTCCAACCTGCATATACAGTGTGCCCAGAGAAGAATTATTATTAATTTTATGAAGAATGTTATGAAGAATTCAGTTCCTATTTAATGTAAGGTGTTGGGATTAGAATGTATGTATGCTGATGACTGATGAAGTTCAGAAATGTTGCGTGGTGGTGAAATTTGGGCCAGATTCCACCTTGTACACATGATGCTTGTACAGAATTATCTGAACACGTAAAAAATAACAGAGATTTTCCGTTGAAATTGGAATCTCTGGGGGTCCTTTTTGGTTTCAATGAAAATTGTAATTCATAAATAACATTTCATTCTTGCTTTGAGTACTTGATAAGGCATTGAACATTATAGATCAAATACCAACTTTTGGTATACTGAAATGAAGATTTCCTTTTAATATTTGTTTGAATTTTGTCTCTTTTGTTGTCTTCAAGTAAGTGTCGCTTGACGTTGAATACCTAATGAGAGGCACTGTGTAAACTTCTCTTGCGAACTGTCAGGCATCTTAAAATTTACTGCTTACTGTTGTTTACTATTATTTAAATTTTTGTATTAAATCTGTATGCAAATGGTGAATCATTAATTCCACCCCTGTAATCTAAGCTACAGGGATACTTGCAAATGTGCGTAAAGCTGGGCACTGCTTATGTTGTTGTTTAGTTGTTCAATCATGTTCGACTCTTTGTGACCCCCTGGACTGTAGCCCGCCAGGCTCCTCTGTCCATGGAATTCTCCAGGCAAGAATACTGGAGTGGGGTGCCATTTCCCTCTCCAGGGGGTCTTTCTGACCCAGGGATTGAACCTGTGTCTCCTGCTTCACAGGTGGATTCTTTACTACTGAGCTACCTGGGAAGCCTGGCATTGCTTGCACTCACAAGAAATTGGAGGCGTGGAGCTGAAATATACCTACAGGGGATTGATTAAATGCCTCAAGTGTCTTGTGGTAGACACCTAGAGTGAAATAATCTACTAACACTGAGAAAAGAATAAGGCATATCTGTGTGTACAGAATTGGAGAAATGCCCAGTCAAATTATGAAATTGAATATATGGTGTGATGCCATTGGGGAACAATTCAAATCTGTATCTGTGTCCACATCCACAACTCCATGGCTGTACTTGCCTGGAATGTCAGGATGGGTATTTCACCTTTCTACTTTGCACAGTTCTGTACTGTTTGTGTATTTTACTTCTTCAATCACAGAAGGTCCCCACCATCCCCGCAACCTCCCTCACACTGGTAACTTAATAGGTACACAATTAGGAAGTGACTGTGAGATTGTGAACATGCCGTGTGTGCTGTGCATCTGAGAGGCCCCCAGAGATGTGCTTTTTCTATTAATACACATTTTGTGTTTCCACTGAAGCCTGTCTCTTCAGTGCTGAAGGAGGAAAAAGGTCAGAAGTGAAGTGGGGCTCATAGCAACCAACTGACTCATGCTGGGTGCTTCTCTTACCGGCCAGATACCCTGGCAATTTTTTAGTGGCTTCCAGGTACCCAGCTGAGGCTCCCGTTGGTGACTTAAAATGTGGAGACTGAAGTGGTTGGAAAAAAGGAACAGACCAGTAGCTGAAGTCCCAGAGTGAGGGCTCAGCATCTGAACGGGTTGTTCCGTTTTGAGAGGCTCAGTCTTATTGTGACTAAAGCGCCTCACCTGACTCCCTACCTTGGGTCTGGTCACCCCCGAGCCCACCTTCACTCTCTGCTCTTTCCAGACGTCTCCCTCTGGCCTTTCACTGCAATCTGGTGAATCCCCAGCACTCTTCCAGCTCACTTCTCCCTGCTGGTCCCACGTTTGCTCAGAGTCAGCTGTAGTTCTCCAGTCACCCTTTCATCTAATCAGTCAGATAGTTCACGCAAGTCTCAAACAAGCCCCTTTCCACTGGAGAAGCTTTCTCGTTTGGTGACTAATTAGTTGTCCTCTGTAAATGGGTCTCCATCCCCTCAACCCTCATGTGGTTGTCACTGGATAGGCATCAGTGAATGTCTTCTGGACCCAGTTGTATTGACTATGTGTTTGTTTTCCTTCTGCCCAACAGAGTTTAAGCCCTAAAAAGCTTGCCCAGGTGTCCAGTTTGTAATCACTTATTTTTTTAGAATAGTATCATGTACTCTTAAGAGTAATGAATAAGTACCCTAAGAAAGATCTGAAGTTGTATGTCTGAAAATTCAAAAAAATTCTTCTCTTCCAGCTACAGTCCCACTTGTGTCTTGGAAGGGGATCATGATTTCCGCTGTGATGCCTGTTTTCTGGGCTACGAAGGACAATATTGTGAGAGGTATGTCGCCTGCTCCTTTTATATGCACAGGACATATTTACAGAAGTAATGGGGAGTTGTTACCAGTTTGATAATGCAAAACCAGACCTCCTGGGCAATAAGGCAGGTAAAGGCACTTCCTTGTGACCGTCGTGTCCTTTTAGGGAATAGAGTGCAGAGGGAGGTGAGCAGACCTGTGCTCTCTGCACTTCACGAGACAGAAGTGATGCCTGTCCTTGGGTGGCTGCTCTGTGTATTCACTCACTCACTGGTGTGGATCCTGCCTTCTGTCCTCCCATCTCCTTCTGCAGGTGCTCATTGGGTTACTATGGGAACCCTCAGATGCCAGGCGGCAGCTGCCAGAGTTGTGACTGCAGCCCGCACGGCTCTGTCCACGGTGACTGTGACCGCGGGTCCGGGCAGTGCGTCTGCCGGCCGGGGGCCACGGGGCTCCGCTGCGGGGATTGTGAACCGAGGCACATTTTGGTGGAAAGCGACTGTGTGTGTGAGTGTCACCCCTCCGAAGGGCTAAGGAGGGTTTCTCCTCTTGGATGGTTTCCCAGTACCCAGTGGCATCAGCAGGCTAAGCTCAAGGGCTTAGTTGCTCTGCGGCATGTGGGATCTTAGTTCCCTGCCCAGGGTTTGAACCCACATCCCCTGCATTGCAAGGTGGGTTCTTAACCACTGGAGCCCCAGGGAAGTCCCTAGATGTTATTACAGGACGCTATGGCCACCCATGGAACCCAGGCAGACTCTTTGCTGTAATTAAATCATAGTTTTATGTTTAGTTAAAATCTGTGTTTTGATCTGGGTCCAAAAGACGATGGGAAGGTAAGAAGTTGACTTGCTAGACAGCATTTTTTATTCTAATTAGGGGAAAAAATGAGTCTAAATTTGGCCCAAAGCCTATGCTTTAGAATTTGAGGTATTTAATTCACCATGTCATGCCATAATGCCAATGTGTGTTTGTGTGTGCGTGTGTGTGCAATTCGGCTGCTTCAATGATCCATTCTTGTTAATATTGGTCAGTTCTCCATAGATTTAATAAAGTTTAGGAAACTGTACGAGGTGTTTCTACGTTATTTTTCCTGAAATAGAACAAAATGTTTTCAAAGATAAGGGGAAAAGAAAAGAAACAAATGTTGAAATTTCTTTTCCACTCACCATAGACACAATCAATAAATACTACCTTCCATCAGCTTGGTTTCCAACTTTCTGACTGTATTTTTTACCACGTGAGATGAACACTTGATTTCAGCTTTAATTCTTAAGTGATTTGCCCCCATTTAAAGCACTTTGTCAGTTCCCTTGTATGACTTTTTATGTTTATATAAAGTACTCCGGAGCTTGAGATTGTGAACCCTCAACTGTTTCTTGTTTCCACTGCTGACCTGCATAGCGACTTGGGCAGGTTAATAAGTGTGCTGACCATAGACAATAGTCTCGCCCCTTCATGGGTCGTTATAAGGTCTGAGTAGCATCACACAAGTAAAGAAATTAGAGGAGTGTTGGCATAAATTAAGTACTTCATTGTTAGTAATTATAAAGGCTTTTCTTTGCTTAATACTTTTGTATTTTAGCTTTGTAAGCATTTCTTTTAGGTGTTAGAAATTACAGTTAAAATTTATATGACTCTGCTATTAAAATTCAGCCAGATCCGCCCAGGAACTGCAGCAGTGTCAATTCTGCACGGCCTACCAGGCTTTACGTTTATATCTATATAGGAAATATGATGTGAAAGACCGCAGTCTGGAAACGTGTTCTGTAATCCAAACTTCAGTGAATGTGATTCATTTTATTTTTTAACGCAATGTCAGGGAAAAGAGAATTTCTTTCTGTGAATGAAAAAGGTAATGACAGGCGATTCTTAGTTAAGAACCGAAGACTTATTTTGAAGCATTATAATTTGTTTTCTTCGTTATTTTAGGACTCTGTATTAAAAGAAAATACACAAAAAGAACTGGTAAACATTCAACTTGCAGGCGTCTCAGAACAAACGGAGGACCTGCAAAGGGAGGTAAGTTCTTTACTTAAAGGGTCCGCTCCGCCTGCCCCCTGCCCCCAGCCCTTGTGAGCACTGGCATGGGGACTTCCTGGAAGGTTCTGAACAGATCAGAGCAGCCCCTTCCTCCCAGGAGCTGTGTTCCAGCTACTGTAAAGTCAGATTAAGTAGGTTCTGATGCAGCCAGTCTCCGTGCTTTGTTGGGACGAGGCCCCTGACTTACTTTCTGCTGTCCCCTCTGCTGAAGGAGTCGGGCTGTCAGCTCACATCACCGCTTCTTTTCTCCTGTGAACCAGGGTTGGGCAGGATGAAAAGACGGGGGTCTCTTCCCCATCCTGTATTCACTGCACATGGTGAGCCCTGAGTTCCCCGCCCCCCGCCTGCCCCCAGCACCAGTACAGGCAACTCCTCCCCGGGTGTCAGCAGCACTCAGACTTCCGCCCCTACTTCTGATGGTCTGAATGGCAGGAGAGTTCGCTTTGATGTCAGCAGGGGGTTATTCATTCTGTTCAGCCCAGTCCAAATGAATGGTTTTTAGTGACCAAGAAAAGGACCTGCTTATTTGCAGATGGCGAGGGAGGCCTATTGTCAAATTTATGATTTTCACTTTAAAATTGTGTGCCTATGTGTGTGTGCACACATATAGTACATAGATGTGTGTCTTTGAAAGTGAAAGTGTTAGTCACTTTTGACCCCATGGACTGTAGCCCGCTGGGCTCCTCTGTCTATGGGATTCTCCAGGCAAGAATACTGGGGTGGGTTGCCATTCCCTTCTCCAGGGAATGTTCCCGCCCAGGGATCAAACTCAGGTCTCCTGCTTTGCAGGCCGATTCTTCACCTTCTGAGCCACCAGGGAAGCCCATCTGTGTATATGTATGTCTTGTCTCTGTCTCTCAATGTTCACACATGTGCACAATCATGCACCCTAAAATGCAGTAGCTTGGCTTCTGTTAATTTAGAATTAGTGACCATTTGGGAAGAGTCTAAGGGTTTCTGTGTGGGCTTTTGAAGTACCTGAGCAAGCAAACATTTGGTAGGAAGCGATAAGCCAATTAAAATAAATTCTTTCTATCCATTAAAGAAGATTCTCTTTGGATTTTGACTAGAAAACACTTTTAGAACCATTCTAAGTTACTTACTTTGGGCTTTCCTTGTGGATCAGCTGGTAAAGAATCTGCCTGCAAATGCAGGAGACCTGGGTTCAATCACTGGGCTGGGAAGATCCCCTGGAGAAGTGAAAGGCTACCCACTCCAGTATTCTGGCCTAGAGAATTCCATGGACTGTATAGTCCATGGGATCGCAAAGAGTTGGACACAACTGAGCGACTTTCAGTTCAGTGAGTTACTTTACATTCCTAGAAATTACAGACAACCTTCCTTTCCACAAATCGTTGTTGTTTAGTCTCACTAAGTCATGTCCGACTCTTTGCGATCCCATGAACTGTAAGCTCATCAGGCTCCTCTGTCCATGGGATTTCCCGGGCAAGAATACTGGAGTGGGTTGCCATTTCCTCCTCTAGGACATCTTCCGGGATCAGGGAATGAACTGCGTTGGCAGGTGGATTCTTTACTGCTGAGCCACCAGGGAAGCCTTTCACAAATTAGAACACCCCTAAAAAAAACAACAGCTGAGAGTAACTAACAGGCATCATCACATATAATCCTCATGAAGTCCTGTGATTCAAGTGTTATAATTACTCCAAGTTATGGATGAGGCTGGGAGGTGTCAGGTGTCCAGCCTGGCAGAAGCTGGTCTATTTGCCTAACTCTGGGTCTTAACCATTTGACTAAGTTCTCATGGTCAATACAAATTAGTAAGATTTTATTTTCTAGATTCTGGCAAATTTGGGTCCTAACATGAACATGAGGTCTCCACAGTGGCGACACCCGGGAGAGTCTGTGGTTTGATAGCCAATTAGGCTGCTTTTTAAAATGTCCCATCTTTTTTCACCAAGAGTGAGCAGTCCATCATTTCATGAACCACCTAGTCCATTTCCAGCCCTGCACTGTTGACCCTGGCTTCCATGATGGCGAACCTTTTCTGCGTTCTGGAATATGTTTTGTTGCTTAAAAGAGATAACATCTGGCATACCAAAGCTTGCATTTTATTCAGAGTGAAACTCACCTGAGGCCTTTATTTTCCGTCAGCTTGACAGAGTGTTGACACGTAGTGAGCAGGTGACCAGGGCCACGGAAAGAATCCTGGACAAGAGTGTGGACCTCATTAAGTTGACCGAGAAGCTGCAGACAGACATCGAAGGTAGTGTCCTCAGAACTTTGCTTGACGAGTCTGGCTTATTTGGTAGGAAAAGCCTACTCTCTTCATTCAGCACTTGAATAGCCGTGACTTGCGCTGGACTCTTGGGGCCTTCCCAGGTCCACACACAATGTGCTAAGTCACTTCAGTCGTGTCCGACCCTTTGAGACCTCATGGACTGTAGCCCATCAGGCTCCTCTGTCCATGGGATTCTCCAGGCAAGAATACTGGAGTGGATTGCCATTCCCTTCTCCAGGGGATCTTCCCAACCCAGGGATCGAAACCCAGGTCTCCTGCCTTGGCAGGCGGATACTGAGCCAATACAATCAGACTTTCTAAGGCAGAAAGTAAGGAATTATTAGGACAAAAGACATCTTTTTAAAAGGAGTAGTATCAAGTATTGGTGGTTGTTCAATGAGTAAACGTTACTGAGAGCTTCTCCGTGCAGATGTTCCTGGCAGGGGCGGGGAATGCTGCAGTGATCGTGGTGCCTCAGTCCTGCCTGGACAGGGTTCATGGGTACCGAGGAAGCTGACAGGAGATAAACCAGGGATCTCAGATTCCTGAGTGTTTTTTTTAAACACTTTTTTTGATATTTACTTTTGGCTGTGCTGGGTCTTTACTGCTGCGTGGTTTTTTCTGTCGTCGTGGCGAGCGGGGGCTACTCTCCAGCTGTGGGGCGGGGGCTTCTCATTGAGGTGGCGTCTCTTATTGCGGAGCACGGGCTCTGGGGCGCACTGGCTTCAGTACTCATGATGTGGCCTCAGTAGTTGCAGCTCCTGGGCTCTAGAGCACAGGCTTGGTAGTTGTGCCGCAAGGGCTTAGTTGCTCCTTGGCTTGTGGGATCTTCCCAGACCGGGGATCGATCCTGAGTCTCCTGTATTGGCAGGCAGATGCTTTGCCACTGAGCCACCAGGGAAGCCGCTCCTAAGTGTGTTGACAGGCCATGTCCAGAGCACACTGGATACACGGACTAACCTGGCCTGGTTAGAGGGTCAGCCTGGTGTAGGTGGGCAGAGCAGCCTCAGGGGAGAAGGTTCTAGGTTCTCCCATCCTAGGACTGTCTACTTTTGAGAGACTTATTCAGTGACTAATGAACTTTCTCCATAGAAATGATCGAAAAGGCTGCGACTCTAAATCAGACGCTGGATGACGATTGGGAGAAGGTTCTAGGTTCTCCCATCCTAGGACTGTCTACTTTTGAGAGACTTATTCAGTGACTAATGAACTTTCTCCATAGAAATGATCGAAAAGGCTGCGACTCTAAATCAGACACTGGATGACGATGTCCAGCTGCCCAGCTCTATTCTTCAGGACATGCAGGAGAACATCACGGCTTTGCTGGAAGTCCTGCGGAAAAGGCGGTTCCTGCCGCTGCACCGAAACGCCACCCGAGAACTCAAGTGAGTTCCTGAACAGCACTCATGACACGGCCAGTTAGAGGGAAGAATGTGATAGCGGAGAGGGAGGGAGGCAGGTGGGAGGAGGGGAAGGAAATTAAGTTCTCAGAGGGACAGGCTGTTACTGGAGAAGAGAGGGGTGCCGCTCCCCCCGCCAACAGCACAGTGTGATCAATGGCAGTGCTTCTGCCTGTGCTATTATGTCATAGGTGGTTTGGTTTTCCTCTGTGACCCTGAAACACCTTTTCTACTTAGCATGAACATACAAACCTTCTGATACTGTCTTTATTGAAGATTTAAGTATAATGCAGGAAACTCTCACAGGAAGCAAACACAGGTGGTGGCCACTGCCAAAGCTGTGAACTCTATGACAGTCTGGCAGAACATCATGCCAGAATAATTTTGCTCAGTTATGCAAACTGTCATCAAAACCTGGGATTTGAAAAACAGATCACAAAGAACTGTTAGACGTGGTCATGAGAAACTTTCAGTTTGCCTTCAGGCTTTTTTTTCCTTAGTATTTTCACACAAATTATTACTTGATGCAATAGCAAAGCTGTCTTTCTGCCAGGTTTTGATAAATGTCTGACTAAGTACTGGTTTCAGTGGTCACACTACACACCATCAAAACTCCAGTCTCTGTAATTTAAGCTATTTTAATACATTATGCTATTTTAAATAACATTTTAAAGAATAACTTAAATCAAAATCTTTTTCTGAATTTTACATTATTATCTTATCAGGGTGAATGTTAAGAAGTGAAGTCATTTAACCAGAGTTTTCATTTTGAGGATTCCCAACTTGCATTGCCACATTATTTTCTACATGGTTTTTAATTACTTTGAAAGTTATCTTTTATTCAATGGGAATTTTTAGGACTTAAGCCCGGGAGACAGTATCTAGAGTAACCACAAGAGAACTGCTCCAAGGAGGTAAGGGGTGAGCTAGGTTATATAGAAGTTTTTCAGTGATGGACAGCCAGCCTGAACATCAGAAGATTATTGTTAATTAAAGAAAACAGATATCCCAAGTTTTGAAATTTAAAACAACATCCACTTCTACCAGCAGGACCCTGGAGAACTGAGTTTATATATATTTTCATCATTGAGTGGGATTTTTGACATTGTTGTTGATTTGCTCGGTGAAAAACAAAAGGTGGAACTTACTGTCACATAGACTTTGGAGAAAAGGACTAGTAATTTAATTATGGGATGTTTGTTAGGCCCTGAGAGGACTCTGGGCTGGATGAGGGCAGCTCAGAGTTGGGCGAGGACTCAGGAGATGGGGAGGGAGCTGCTGTCTACAGGGCACTCCTCTGTGCCGGGTGAGTGGGGAGCTGTAGATTTCCCACCTCACCTCTGCCTGTGCTCACCCTCACCTCCTTGTGAGGTGGGAAGGATGCAACTGAAGTAACTGAGGCCCAGAGAATGTTTGTAACTCCATCAATGTTGAACCTCCAGGACAATATGAAACCCGGTGTGTTCTGCATGCTGAGTCACTTCAGTTGCGTCCGACTCTTTGCAACCCTATGGACTGTTGCCTCCCCAGGCTCCTCTGTCCATGGGATTTTCCAGGCAGGAATACTGGTGAGGGTTGCTGGTTCCTTCCCCAGGTATTCTTCTCAACCCAGGGGTCAAACCTGTGTCTCCTGTATCTCCTGCATTGGCAGGCAGATTCTTTACCACTGAGCCACCAGGGAAGCCCATCTTTCCCTTTATGGCACCCTGCAGATGATCCTTTGTAGCTGTGTTGCCCAAATGTTTTCCAGTTTCTTAAGGAGAGGCCGGATCTTTACCACAAGTCTTCAGGCTGAGTACTTAATCTTGAATCTCCACAGTGAGCCTGGAGAAGACAGCTGAATACGTGGCACCGTGCAACCCTTTCTCATGGAACTTGCTTACCTGCTCACGGCACTAGTGTGGTGGAGAAATGCCACTCAAGAAACCGTGTTTTACTGTATTAACTGAATTTTACAGGAAGAAGCTAATAAGGAGTGCTGAGGGGTTTTGTGATTTTTCTTTGTAGTCTTTCAAGTCATTGTCAACTATATCATTTCATTTGATCGTGGTTTAGATGGTAAAATTTTCAGAGATGAAAATTTGATCTCTATTTTAAATTTCTTAGAGCAATACCTTCGTTAACAATATGAACTGAAGGATTTATGTCTAGATATTAGAAATGTATTGAAAAAAAAAGAAATGTATTGGACTTTTTTGTGTGTCTCCCATGTACTATTTTTAGTTCTCTTTATCACTATCATAGTACAACATCTTATTATCTTTTTTTGTAATTCTTAAAATCACAAGAATATTCAAATAATTCCTGATGGTGCTCTAATGATGTCAGAGTTCAAATATATACCTTTGGAAAAATTTTTTGTGGTGGTTTAGCCCAGCAATCTGATAATCTATGAAAACGAAGGGGGATTTACAAGGCATTTTTCACACAAATATTCAAAGTTCTTCTGATAAATTTAAGGAAGAGATTAATAGGATATATTCAACCACTGCAAAGTTCTGTAGTGTGAAAATTATATTATTCTATATAGCTTTAAGTTCAAATTTGATTTAAATAGCAATTTGATAGCACATTTATAAAAGAATAGGGGGAAATATCTTTTGATTTCTTGAAGCTTGCTTTTACCAAAGTGGTACAAATTGTATCTTCCTGGAAATTTGGATTTGAAAGTTTCTATAAAATTTGTTTCTTTACTAGCTGCAGGAAAAACCTTTGTATTGTATGGATACATTGGTGACTTTGGAACAGATCATTGAAGCATCTCCTTTTTTCAATTTCTGACCATATTGTAACGAAGATTTCAGTTGCCATCATTCACAGGCTGTGGCCCCAGTTTTCTGAATCCAAATCCTCTGAGATGGTTTCTTTAATTCCACTAAATATATTAGGAAGTTTGTTAAGTCAAGAAAGATCGTTAAGGATAAAGTGTGAACCTGCCATACATATAGCAACCTTAGAAAATTTTTTTCCCTTTTTAAGGGATTGCCATGTACCACTTAGGACTTCGAGATGAAACTGAGATGGGATATGTAAAAGTTCCTTTCACTATACATCAATGCCGTGAGCTTTGTTGTTAATTTCTCACCATCTTTTATGTTCCCAGGGCTGCCGAAGATTTATTGTCACAAATTCAGGAAGATTACCGGAAGCCACAGGAAGAGTTGGCAGTGTTAAAAGAAGCAGTAAGCAGCCTCCTTTCGACACACAACAGTGATGTGAGGGCTGCAGAAGAGCTCCTGAGAGAAGCAGAGACCAAGACCCAGGAGAGCGGTCGCCTGCTGCTCCTCATCGGGGCCAACCTGCGAGAGTTCAGCGTGAGTCCTGCCAGCTCTCACTCCCTTAGGGCTGGTCCCAAATGCTCCCCCGTAAATGACGTCATCCTTTACGCCTTAAAAAAATGAGCCCCGAGGGCTGACTTCATTCAGCACACAGGGTCAGGCACCCGAGGTTCAGAGGCCAACTTGCTTTTATGAAGCATCCTTAGAGGTGATGTTTGCTGCAGGAGAAGAAGCTGCGTGTTCAGGAAGAACAGAGCTTGACATCAGCACTGATCGCCGAAGGAAGAGGACTGCTGGATGCGGCCTCTGCTCCTGCAAACACATTGGGAGAGGCTCTCGTGGTGAGTCCCAACTCAGCACAGCCCGGGGTTTCCAGGGAAGCCTCCCAGGCCCCAGACATGCTGTTAAACAGATGCACACGTGGTCACAGTGTTAATCTCTGTGTAGCAACTAGAGCAACACCGGGACGAGCTGCTGCTGTGGACCGCCCAAATCAGGCGCCACGTGGATGACCTGGTCATGCAGATGTCTGAGCGGAGAGCGCTGGAGCTTGTGTACAGGGCAGAGGATCATGCCGCCGAGCTGCAGAGACTGGCAAGTGCTCTGGACAGGTGAGGCACCCCTGGCAGGTAGCCCACAGGTTGCGATCTGCAGATCAGAGAGAATAATAAGCCTGGCTGTTTCATTCACGGTGTCGAGTCACATTCTTTATTGTATGTAAAAACAAAGGCTTCTCTTTTATTTCCACGACAAGGAGGGTTTCCTTCCAAGTCTGGTGGTGTATTTGACCATCAGCAGGAATGTACGATGGAAAAATGTGAACTGAAGCAGATAGGAATGAAAACAAATATTATGCTATGATATCAAGGCCTTCAGTATCTACCTGGTACTCAGGACTTTTTGAGTTTGCACATGGACAGAACCAGATACTGATTTCCTTATGCCTCTTGCCTTCTTGGGACTTGTGATCCAGCTGTCTTTCTGCATGGATGCAGGTTGTGGTTGCCCACCCTGGACTATTAGAAGTGTTGAGAATCTATTTGCCAACTCCTGAAAGATACCATCTCCATTATTTTCTACTGCCTGAAAGGTTACCGTTATACTCATTACTTTAACATGTATTTTTGAATATTTGTCAAGTATATCCTCAGTTTGTTAGACGTGCCTTTAAATAAGAAGCGAGACTTTAGGCCAATGGTTCCTGAATTGTTGCAGGAGGAGCCTGGTGAACTTTGGAGTACTGATGGCTCTGTCCCCTGACCCCCTCCCCTGTCCACCAGACTGTGGGATATGGCCTGTACTTTAAATTTTTTCTTAAGTCCCCAGGTGACCTGATGGCAGCAAATGAGGGAATTGGGGTTTAAGGCCTTACACAATATTGTGAGTTAGTAAATTTATTTCTTTAGAATCTGCTGTAAATTATGAGTGGAAAAAGTCTGGACACACTGGGAATACTTGTGTTTCTGTGTATTGGGTGTGTTTTGTGGAAGGAGAAAAATAAGTATTTTGCTAATTTGAGGAGTGCTGCCATAAAAGACGAGCTCACACAACGAAATCAATTAAAAACGACTATTGCGTGAGTCATGTGCTACATTGAGCTCCACTGCTTCTGTCTGCTGTCGGAATCAGTAACAGAAAATGGAGTTAGGTACTCAGTTAGTTTTTCTCCTTTTCTCATCTTTCCTAATTTTCCAAAAAGGAAAAGGATGTTCTGACTACATCTCTAGCTACAACGAAATCTTTATTACTTAGTATGAGTCATAAAAGCTGTTTGGTGTGATGCATAAAATTAAATAACTTTGTCTTTTATTTGTAAATCACTGAATTTTGCCAGTCAAGTAGTATCTAATAATAACTGCTGGTTTCTGCTTTGGAAATCACCCAACTCAATAACGTTGGGGAGAAAATGCCTACTCAGTAGGCAAAGAGGTGTGTATTGTCAGGTTTCATTCTGAAGCGAGAGTGAGCTGGATGAACCCGCACCGTTACCAGCTGGCAAGTTCCTGAGTGGTCAGTCCCCTTAAAAGAGTGAAGTTCAGATGACTGAAGTATTATCTCATCCTCCCAAACCCCTGGTGAACTTCATCAAATTGGTGTACACTGTTTGAGGAATAAGCTTCAGCATCCCCACATATGCTTAGCTAAGAAAGCCTTTTTAAAGTGAACACTTGTGTAGCAGGAGTGATTACAACCAGTGCAAACAGGCAGGGGATTTGAACAGAGATGAAAGACTGGATGGTCTAAAAGATGAGACACAGTGACCATCTCTTCTTTGGGTGTTAATTAAGCAGCAGTTCTTAGTGTTACCGAGACAAGATGACCACAGCTTCTTAAGACGGCGTTTGGAATTAGAGGGGAGTCCAGATGTTGACACAGACTCCTGAATTTCTCGTTGATGATGTTTCTCTAAGGAGAAGAAGGTGGGAGGCTTTTAGGAACAGTGGGCAGATTCAGTTCCGTTGATTATAACGTCTCTAAATGTACCGATTGCACAGTGGCCTTGGGAATGTCAGACATGTGTCCCTGAATGCCACCAGCGCAGCCCATGTCCACTCCAACATCCGGAGCCTGATTGAGGAATCAGAGAGGCTGGCAACAGATGCTCTCGGAACTGTGAGAGAGGCAAGCGCGGTAAGAAAGGCCCCCAGGTTTCCCTGTGCCTGCTTTTTCTCAGCGCTGTGGTCAAGTGAACCTTCCGTGAGGTGCTCAAGCAGAGAGGCAGTGGCTTAAATTTACACTTGTCAAGATTCTTTTCTGGTGGAATTCTGTCATCACGTGTCTTTGCTTTTCCTGCATGCTTAGTCACTCAGTCCTATCGGACTGTGCGACCTTGTGGGCTGTAGCCCACCAGGCTCCTCGGTCCATGAGATTTCTCAGTCAAGAGTACTGGAGTGGGCTGCCATTCCTTTCTCCGTAATATATTCTAATGCATTAAAAATACTGTCTTTTCCGATGGGAGTAAATAGTGGGCCTTAAACAAGCTCATATACCCCTTACACTACTTCCGTGCCCAATCCTGGATTCAGGGATTGAACCCGCATCTCTTGCATCTCCTGCACCGGCAGGCAGATTCTTCACCTGCTGAGCCATCTAAGTCGTAAGTGATTCTTAGAACAAAAATGATAATGTTAATTGATATCTGCCTTAGACATCTCTTCTTACCCGTGGTGAACCTCTTCATTTAAGGGCTGTTTTTTGTGTTTATAGATTTAAAAATGACTGTGTTCTTCCTCTTCACAAATTAGCCTATATGTTAATAGGACTACTTCAGTTGTCCCTGCCTATTGTCTGCTTGACTTCCTTGTTCGGAAGGACACTGGGGGATATTCTGGGACAGGACAGAGTTGTTCTCTCCACCTCCAGCAAGAGCCCACCCCGCCTTCCAGGTTCACGCTGAAATTGTCCTGTTTTACAGGCTTCCGAATCTCTTGTTTCTAATGGGAGAGCGACCCTCCGACGCAGTTCCGAGTTTCTCAGAGAAGGCAACCGCCTGAGCAGAAAGCATCGAGGTCAGTTCCCAGCTCGGGCTGTGTTGATGCCAGAGTGATTGTGGACCCACCTCTGAATATACTGCCAGAACATTCTTCTTTCCTGGAGCAAGTTGAATCTTAACATTTCTTTGTCACAGTAGTATTCCAATTTCCTATCCTAGACACATCATGTAATTTTGATTGTGCAGTCCCCTCCAATCTTCCATAGACTCGACAAGCCTCCCCTGAGAACGAAACCCTCTGCTCACTGCTCTGGCTCCTGAGCTCAGGCTGGTTGGTCCTCACTGCGTTTGTCAGGATACCTGTGACCTCACGTGCTTCTCTGTCCATCTCAGGGTTTCACCATTTCTTGAAGAGTCGTATTATGTTTGACTCTTGTCTTCTGCACAGGGCTAATGCAATGTTAGAGCCATGGTAGGTTCTCATAAAGTTATTGGATTAAATCAATATTGATTTATCTATTAAAAATACCTATGCAAAAAAAAAATACCAATGTGGTTTCATTTTTCCTAAGACTTTCAGTAAGCAATTTTTGGCACATGTAAGAGTTAGTAAGCATAATGCAGAATGGCAGACGACTCTGTTCATAAGAGAAACAAACAAGCTTTATAACATATAGTTATATGTATATAGATAGATCTATATATAGTTATATAGATACATAGTTATAGATATATAGATAGATAGATATCTATCACCTTAATATACTCTGCTGCTGCTCACTCAGTCATGCCCAACTCTTTGCAACGCTATGGATTGTAGCCCGTCAGGCTCCTCTGTCCATGGGATTCTCCAGGCAAGAACACTGGAGTGGGTTGCCATGCCCTCCTCCAGGGGATCTTCCTGACCCAGGGATTGAACCCATACCTTTTATGTCCTCTGCACTGGCAGGTGGTTCTTTACCACTGCCGCCACCTGGGAAGCCCTTTTCACCCTAGAGCTCTAATTGAATCAAACATGAATTTAAGAAGTATTAGTGAGAAGGAAAACAAAGTAAAAAAAAAATTATCAAGTAAGCACCCAAGCATACAATTTGAGTGTGGATTGAGTGGTGCTAAGTCTTGTTAGACAAACTTTCAATATTTGGGCTCTCTGTAGAAAGCTGCTGATTTTAAAGATGGGTCAGGAATGATAAAACTGTCATCCAGGCAACTTTTTAGGGTCAGCTTAAAAGGGAACACTTTTTCCCCTTTGAATAGGTATCACATTGGAACTGAGTAGATTGAAAGATTCTGCAAAGAGATTTCAAGAGAATGCTGATAAAATTACCAGGCAGACCAATGAATCACTCTTGATACTTAGAGCAATTCCTGAAGGTAAGTGGAAAAGGGGGGTTCTTGATTTAAATTAATATCTTCTCATTGCAAAACACTTGCACATGAGCAGAAGACCTGCTGCAGATCCGATGGAGACCCCTCATCCAAAACAAAACCAAGATTGACAGAATTTTCACTTGCAGAGGGATATGGTTTGGAAGGAAGAGCACTGTGTTTTTTATAGCTTCAGAACACCTGCATTGAAGTAGTAGAATTATACTGTGAAAAAACAAAGCTTTAGATTCTTTATGCTATCATATTAATTGTTAACTTTTAAAATGGGCCTGAGATGAAAGAAGAGACATTCAAAGAAGCTAGCAAGTAAAGAAGCTGAAATATTCCTGCTTTAGGGCAAAGTGCTAAATTCATAAATGTGATAATTTAGAGAATTCTTGTTTGGAAATTAAGGAAATCTTCCTTTGTGAGACAATAAGCATTCTAAAATAGATCACTTTAATATTGATGGCTTGAAAATGCAGTGTTCCTTAAAATTTTAAACAGGGTAATTTTTTAACACAGGCAAGTTGCACTCTGGTGCATTATTTATCTTACATTCCCTCAGCCTTTTCTTTTTTCTTAAGTCTCGGAAGATACCAAAAACATTTCCCAAGTTCTTCTGTCTGCTGGTTCACCTTATTGTTGTTCTGCCCCCCAGTCATGTCTGACTCTTTGCAATCTCATGGACTGCAGCACCCCAGACCTCCCTGTCCCTCAACATGTTTCAGAGTTTGCCCAAGTTTCAGATTCATTGTATCGGTCACTTCATAAGCATGAAAATTACCCTGGGAAGCTGGACTTCGGGACACTTTGGACTGACTCCCTGTGTTAGAAGAGTGGAGCATTTTCTGATCTGAAATTTTCTTTTTCTTTTATTTATCTGTTTTTAGGGATACATGGTGTATGTTGATCAAACATTCAAAAATAACTTTTTATTTGGAACCAATTTCACATTTGCAGAAAAGTTACAAGAAGATTTAAAAGAATACCTGTATACCCTGCATCCAGCTTCTTCTAGTGTTAATCTTTGTCCTTTTTGTGTTAAACCCTTTAAAAAAAAGTGCCTTAAAATAAAAACAACTGTCACCCAGCTTTTCTAGAATAATTGAACTCCAGTTTATCTTTAGTGACCATTTACTTTTTACTGTGCTGTTATTTTCAGCAGCCAGTTGTGGGCAAATACACTTCCTCTTGCCTAGGATACTTCTATGGCACCTTCAGGTTTAAATTCCTAAACCTTCTTATCCTGACATGGAATGATTTGGAGAAGCTGTTAGTGACTATAAGAAAGGAGTGATCTGAAAGGGAGCAAATAAGTTTAGATTGTTAACATATAAGATGCTGAGTAAACGGCAACTAGCAGTTGCTTTTGTAATCTCATTGTGTATTGAAATCATACTTCAGTATAGAGTGTTGTCACCAAAAACATTTCAGTTCAGTTCAGTTCAGTCACTCAGTCATGTCCAACTCTGCAACCCCATGGACTGCAGCATGCCAGGCTTCCCTGTCCATCGCCAACTCCTGGAGCTTGCTCACACTCATGTCTATTGAGTTAATGATGCCATCCAACCATCTCATCCTCTGTCGTCCCCTTCTCCTGCCTTCAATCTTTCCCAGTATCAGAGTCTTTTCTAATGAGTCAGTCCTTTGCATCAGGTGGCCAAAGTATTGGAGCTTCTGCTTCAACATCAGTTCTTCCAGTGAATATTTAGGATTGATTTCCTTTAGAATTGACTGGTTTGCTCTCCTTGCAGTCCAAGGGACTTTCAAGAGCCTTCTCCACCACAGTTCAAAAGCATCAATTCTTTGGCGCTCTTGAATGAAAAACATTTCATTCATCCAAAAAAGGAGTGGTAGCACATATGTGTGTGTGTGCTCTGTCACTTCAGTTGTGTCTGACTCTTTGCGACCCTGTGGACAGCCCCCGAGGCTCCCCTGTCCATGGGATTCTCCAGGCAAGAGTACTAGAGTGGGTTGCCATTTCCTACTCCAGGGGATCTTCCCAACCCAGGAATCCAACCCACGTTTCCTGTGTCTCCCACATTGCAGGTGGATTCTTTACCACTGAGCCACACCCCAGCACGTGTGACAGGCAACCTTAATACTGTCATTAAACAGAAGCCCCCTTTTGTGTTCAGGGACCAGAAAGAAACTCTGTAACATGTTTCTGTGTAAAATTACGTTCATTGTGGTTTTATGGTTTTATGCATGTTATAACCGCTTACAACCACCAGTGTATGTACTTGAGTATAAATTTATTTCAGGTGTCAGAGACAGAGGAGCCGTAGTCAAAGACCTGGCCATGTCTGCAAACCAGAGCGCCACCAGCACACTCAAGAATGTCATGGGGCTGAGCCAGAAGCTGGTGAACACGTCCACGGACCTGTCCAGGGTTAATGCCACGTTACAGGAAACAGACAAGCTCCTCCGAGACTCCTCGATGACCAGTAGGTCATGGTCTCCCGTCCCGTTAGGAACGTTTGCGCCGTGCCACGTGAGCTGGCCCAGGGCACATGGGTGTTCGCAGACTGCAATCCTAAGTAATAAAAATGTGGCGACATCTGGATTTGCATTTAAAAAGGAAGAGAAGGGCCTCGGGTACCGCCTTGGGCTGGTGCATGTTTTATGTATTTACCAAAATGTCAGGGATTTGATGATTTGTGTATTCTAGTATATCCAGTACACTAGTAATGACCAGCTAATTTCTCTTGTTTCCTCCCCACCCCCCCCACCCCTGCCAACTTTCTTGTCACCTTCATATACTAGCTTTGTTAGCTGGAAGAAAAGTCAAAGATGTGGAAACACAAGCCAACCTCTTATTGGATCGGCTGAAGCCTCTGAAGATGTTAGAAGAGAACCTGAGCAGAAACCTGTCAGAAATCAAACTGCTAATCAGCCAGGCCCGGAAACAAGCCGCGTCTGTGAGTGTGGGGCCCACGGGTCTTGGGAGCCCGGCACCACCCCGCCAGCTGAAGCTCCTGGAACCACACATCCCAGGGGTCTCCTATGCAGAGGGCTGCGGTCACACTTTCTACTGACAAGTTCTCAGAAATGCCCGATTTCTCACAGCCTTGTCTCCAAGTGTATTTAAAGCCTTGTCTTACATATTTTACTTCGCTGTTGTTCAGTCGCTAAGTCATGTCCAACATTTTGCGACCCCATGGACTGCAGCACGCCAGGCTTCCCTGTCCTTCACTATCTCCATGAGTCTGCTCAAACTCATGTCCATTGAGTCAGTGATGCCATCCAACCATCTCATCCTCCGTCACCCCCTTGTCCTCCTGCCCTCAATCTTTCCCAGCATCAGGGTCTTTTCCAGTGAGTCAGTTCTTGGCATCAGGTGGCCAAAGGAAGGGAGCTTCAGCTTCAGTGTCAGTCCTTCCAATGAATATTCAGTGTTGATATTTACATTAAGTATATTTAATGAGTCCAATTTTCCTCGATTCCTGCTTTTGTTCTGTGTGTTTCAGAATGTTATTAGCAAAAAGATCTCTGTGTCCTTATGGAGATTTATGATCATGTCCTAGATTTCTAGATCCTCACCGATTCGCTGAATGGTACAAACACATTGGTCTAAGTATTAGCATTGCTGGAAGTCTCACTGATTGCATACGGTGTTCTTGCCATCATTTTCCCAACTCGGTGTTGTTATAATCCAAGTATTCTCCAGAATGCTTGTGCAGTATGGGCCAACATCTCAAATTCTGACAAAACAGCTAGCATCGCATGAATGTTGCTCAAATCCAGGTCACTACCTGCATAAAGCACACAGCTTGAGAGAATGGTTCCTGGCCAGCCTTGGCCATAGCCTTGGCCATGTGCTAAAGGAGAGGTGTTTCAAGGAAATAAGATTGAGAGAACATCATTTGTTGTGCTCCTGGGGACCTCTAGACAATAAAGGTGACCTCTGGTCTAATGCTTACCTTCCTGAAGCTTCTAGCCAAGAAAAAGGAGCTCTGGATTCTTTGATCCCTGAGTGCTTCCACTTTGGGAAAAGAGCTGGAGGTGTATAAGGGCTCTGGTTTCCATCTGCCTTAGTTCCAGTTGCCAAATAAAAAAACCTGATGGATGGTTCCAAGTGCTATGGTTAATATAAACTTATCATCTTGAGGGTTGATATAAAGATTATGTGCAAGTAATTATTTACCAGGGTGATATATGAGTGAAATAACTGGTCTGTAAATATTTGCTGAGTGATAGATCAACCCTCCATTTATTACATATTATGCGTGAACAGTTGCATCCAACTTTCTTGTAACCTTGCAGACTGTAGCCTGCCAGGCTCCTCTATCCATGGGATTTCCCAGGTAAATGATCGTCAGATAGCCTTTCTGTGTCAGGTGTAAGATTCCAAAGTGATTTAGAAAAACTCCTTGTCTTTAAGGAATCAAGCTCACAAAATAGCATTCCTTATGTAAAATTCTTTTTTAAAATCCCACGACTGGCTTCTCCATAGTAAAATATTTTACTGAATGGAGTAAGTTTCAGCCCCATCCGATTTTCATCTTTTGAGACACACAGCACTATTATCTGGAGAGGAATCCTGCCTAGCAGCAAAGCATTGAAATAGCACAGCACTTCTGAACCCCAGGCATGCTACNTTCAGCCCCATCCGATTTTCATCTTTTGAGACACACAGCACTATTATCTGGAGAGGAATCCTGCCTAGCAGCAAAGCATTGAAATAGCACAGCACTTCTGAACCCCAGGCATGCTACCAGTGTGTGTCCTGGATGACTCTAAGGCACTTGGGGACACGTCTGTCCTCCTTCTCCAGATCAAAGTTGCTGTGTCTGCAGACCGAGACTGCATCCGGGCCTACCAGCCCCAGATTTCTTCTACCAACTACAACAGCCTAACGCTTAACGTGAAGACAAGTGAACCCGACAACCTTCTCTTCTACCTGGGCAGCAGCACTAGCGTGAGTATGACCCTCGGAAGCCACGCTGAGTCTCTTAAGCCAGAGGATATCTTCTTAACTGGTACATTTTTGGTTAAAAAAAAATAAGGCCTTCATGAAATCCCTAGTGCTTCTGAGGTAACTAATCTTTTGCTAAGCTGGTAATATTAGATTGAAAACAAACTGTGAAACTGCATCTCTGTAAAGAGGGGAGTGGCAGTTATGAGTGGTTCCTCCCTCTGCCCCTTTAACTGTGAGCTGTGGGGACAGAGCTTTTCGTAACGTCTCCTGTGACCTCTGAAGCCACAGAGCTTCACTTTGAGTCTGTGAAGCCGACCGTGGCAGTTGCCACCAGGAGTGGAGGCGGGCATCCCGAGGGACACTTCAGAATTGTCAAACTTCCCCCAGACTCTTCCACCCACTGAGATTCTTGCGGTTCCCAGAGGGCAAGTCCCCTGGGGAAGACTGTTGCTTCTTTAGGCTGTGTCGGTGGGGACGGGTCAGACGCTTGGGCAGAAGATGCTAGCAAGCACAAATGCCATCTGAAATGTCTTCTTAAGACACAAGGTGCAAAGCACACGGCAGTCCGTGCTGAAGGGTTTCAGGGCATCTGTCTTGTTGCACGATTCACATCCATGCGTTGCCTTTTCAGACTGGGCAGACAGACAAGTGCAGTCCCTTCCTATGACCCCTGTAGAGGCTGCTGACCCCAGTGAGTTTTCTTGGAGAACTTCATGGGAGGCTCCATGGAGGGCCAAGCCAGGGAAGGGTGGTGGGCACTGATGGCCAGTGGTGGAACTGTCTCCAATACCATCATTCAGGTCATGCTCCAGCTCCAGGGGAGGGGAACATTTAAAGACAATAGAAGGTCTGTTTCTGTGTTCATATTTTTACTTTTTAAGAATAGAGAAAATGCTGTAAGAACTCCTCCTTTAAAGTATGTCAGTGGTCATGCCCACAGTCTGGCCTGTGGGCTAACCTCAGCTCATGCCCCACATCCCAGGCTGATTTCCTGGCAGTGGAGATGCGGCGAGGAAAAGTGGCATTCCTCTGGGATTTGGGCTCTGGATCAACACGCTTGGAATTTCCAGACTTCCCGATTGATGACAACAAGTGGCACAGCGTCTATGTGACCAGGTAACAGACAAAGTTCTATCTGAACATCTCTTATTTCTCAGCTGCATCTTTTAAGTAACTACGTGTTTACCCTGATGGTGGGAAAGATCGAAGGCAGGAGGAGAAGGGAGCGACAGGGGATGAGACGGTTGGATGGCATCATCGACACAATGGACGTGAGTTTAAGCAAACTCTGGGAGATGGTGAAAGACAGGCAAGCCTGGTGTCTGCAGTCCATGGGGTCGCAAAAAGTCAGACAGGACTTAGTGACTGAACAACAGCATGTTTGACTGAACAACAACATATTTGTAATATCATGTAACAATCCTTGAAATTTTGGGGGAGTAGGATTATAGTGAAAGAATACTTGGTTTAGATTTACTGTAGGAATTTTTTTCATTATTATAAGAGAAATAAACTTTGTTGCCAAAATCAACCATCAAATGAAGAAAAAAGTTAAAAGTTTGTATTACCTTCAGAATGTCAGGTCTAAGTCTGGGCAGCCAACCCAGAAGAGGGCAGTAACGTGCAGCATAGTGGAGATGCCATGTGGCTGGCAGTGGGACAAGCAGAGGGCAAGCCAGGAGGGAACCAGTGGGGGGGGGTGTGTTTTCTTAGAATTGAGGCAGGATGGGAAATTCTTCCTGTTACAGCCCCTCCCCAGGGACTTCCCTGCAGGGACTTCCCTGGCGGTCTAGTGGTTAGGACTCTGTGCTTCCAACTCTAGGGAGCAAGGGTTTGATCCCTGGTCAGGGAACTAAGATCCTGCCTGTCATGTGGTTCTGCCAAAAAATAATAAAGGTTATAAAAAATAAAACCCCTCCCCAGAGGCAACTACTGTTAAGCAGCTCTATGTGTATCTTTCTCTTCACTTTTCTATAGTATCACATTTTGTCATTATGATGGTATTGTTGGGAATTTGTGATTTTTACTTTGTTATTTGAGAAAACGGGGTTATAACAAAGGCAGTGGGCTGTTGAAACATATTTAGTCCATTATCTGTAACTGTTGTAAGCAAGGAGATAACAGGATGGAATTGATGCACTCGAAGAAATACTCCACAAGATTCTAGAGTGCATACTAGGGCTGGGCTGGGCAAACCTAGAAGCAGAGAGGCCAGTGGAGGCGTGGGGAGAAGCCGGTGGAGGCTGTGTGTAGAACAGATGTGTGTGTGTGCACATGTGTGGACCGATTTGTCATTCTGAAAATGCTCTTTTTGCAACTGTCTGTGACCCCCAGGTTTGGGAACATTGGTTCCTTGAGCGTAAAGGAAATGAGCACAGCTCAAAAGCCTCCACCAAAAACAAGTAAATCCCCTGGAACAGCCAAAGTTCTGGATGTAAACAACTCAACCATGATGTTTGTTGGAGGGCTTGGCGGACAGATCAAGGTAACATTGTGAAGGCTCATCTGTACAGGCTGATTTTACCAATAGATGAAATGGATATCCTTACATTTTAAAAAATATTGTAGGCAGAGAACAATTTTCCTGCTTCTGTTATTTTGTTTAATGACAGTTCATCTGCAGAGTTGAGTTGGTTTTGTAAAGGATCATGCTTCATAAATGGTATGAAAGAAAAAGCAGCCAACGGTTCATTTTACTATTTTCTCCCCCTCAATAATAAAATAAGAAATTCAGTATTCCGCGTTAATTTTTGTGAACTCCCTTATCTCTGTTTTGACTCTAGAGGTGTATTAGTCATTTAGTCATGTCCAACTCTTTGCAACCCCATGGACTGTATAACTTGCTAGGCTTCTCTGTCCATGGAATTCTCCAGGCAAGATTATCGGAGTGGGGTGCCATGCCCTTCTCCAGGGGATCTTCCCAACCCAGGGATTAAACCTGGGTCTCCTGCATTGTAGGCAGATTCTTTATTGTCTGAGCCCCCAGGGAAGCCCCAGCTCTAAAGGTAGACTAACCCTAACCCTAACCCTAGTGTTTAGCAAGAGAGTTCATGGTATATTTTATTACATCAGTTAGCCTCTCTCCCAATAAAGCTGGGGTTACCTGGACCTGGTTCAGTGTTCTGAAATGAGAGTGAGGCGTCATCACTGACCACATCCTCTGGGTCTTTTCTCATCTGGTAAAGGGCCTTCTCTCCAGCGACCTTAGTAACTGATGTGACCTCTGAGTTCTCGTCCTGCTGTCTGTCACTCATTCTAGGATCCCAATTCATGATTGGAAGGAAGTCCAGTGATTACAAAATGGCCATTTTCCTGGATGTTGTTTTCTCAAAATTTGGATCTGTGGAATTTGAGCTCCCAAGGAGGAGCTTTGGACACTTAAAGAATGTATTTCTTTTCATTCATTGCTTGTGTGTTTGTTTATACTAGAAGTCTCCTGCCGTGAAGGTTACTCATTTTAAAGGCTGCATGGGCGAGGCCTTCCTGAATGGACAATCAATCGGCCTGTGGAACTATATTGAGAGGGAGGGGGAGTGCCACGGCTGCTTCGGAAGGTAACTCGCCCCACAGGTGACACCTCAGATGCTAATATGTACAGTGACCTGGTCCAGGGAAAAGGCTCGAGTTGTAGCATTTCTCAAATGCATTTGACCCTGCATGTGTGCTTAGTCGCTCAGTCGTGTCATCCTCTTTGAGACCCCAGGGACTATAGCCCGCCAGGCTCCTCTGTCCATGGGATTCTCCGGGCAAGAATACTGGAGTGGGTTGCCATTCCCTCCTCCAGGGGATCTTCCCAATCTGGGCGTCAAACTTGAGTCTCCTCTGTCTCCTGCACTGGCAGGCAGATTCTTTACCACTGAGCCATCCTGCTGCTGCTGCTGCTAAGTCACTTCAGTCGTGTCCGACTCTGTGCGACCCCATAGGTGGCAGCCCACCAGGCTCCCCCGTCCCTGGGACTCTCCAGGCAAGAACACTGGAGTGGGTTGCCGTTTCCTTCTCCAATGCATGAAAGTGAAAAGTGAAACTGAAGTTGCTCAGTCGTGTCCGACTCTTAGCGACCCCATGGACTGCAGCCCACCAGGCTCCTCCGTCCATGGGGTTTTCCAGGCAAGACTACTGGAGTGGGTTGCCATTGCCTTCTCCGGAGCCACTCTGAACTCTTGCTAAAAATGAGTTTTCTTAATGTTCCATAGAGCACACTTTGTAAGTGCTGATATAGACACAAACTGGTGCTTTATGTCTGCATGTCAATGGATTAAACTGTCTTCATTTTACATAAGTGTCCCTACCTAGACAAAAACTTAAGCTCAGTAAGTTAATAAGCTGCTTCTAAAAAAAAAAAAAAATAATAAGCTGCTTCTAGTAACTGAATCCATTTGAGCAGGCCGGTAATTAGAATTCATTGTTCTTTTCACCTTTGTGTGTAATTTTCCACTGTTAAATCATTAATACGGTCCAGTGATGCCCTTTAGATTTAAAAAAAGTTTTTTCTCAATGTGATCATGTACCTTTAACTTTAGCTTATATTACCAGGGAAGCTAACTGGGGTTTTTTTGTTTGTTTGTTTTTTTAATTCCCCTTTGAATATATTTGTACTCCTTTAGTGTGGTGTCAGCATACCTTTATAATTATGAAAAACCTCTTAGATCCTTAAAGGATAATATGAAATCATTGATTTTAACAGTTCACACCTAAATATGGGTGGGGAGGATCTTTAATCAGCAGGCCTTCATTCCTGCATGAGTTCTGAGTAGCTGGTGCAGTACAGCCTTGGCTGCTTAGCTGCCCTTTGATAGGGCAGGCTTCTGTTTCTTTACACATGTTAAATCATGTGTCACCCTTCCAGAGAGGTTCGCTCATGATCCCTGTTTTACAGATGGAGGGAATGAGACACAGAGGGGTTAGGTAACTTTTCTGAGGTCACACAGCTAGTACGTTGGGGAGCTGAAATTTGAACCCCAGCAATCTGCTTCTAGAATCTGTGTCCTACATGAATCCAGTCGTCCGCAGGTAAAGCAGTGGGACTTGCTTCTAGGAGGTGATTGAGAATTAGACCATAGTTGATTTATGCGCAGTGCGTTTCTTATACTTCTTTATGGGAGATCTCAAGACAGAAAGTTTCAGAAAGAATGGGACTATAGAAAGCTATAAATTTGAAACCTGAGGTTTTACAGAGTACCGCTACGTTTTACTTTGTTAATGGAAACGCTCTCATTGCTGGGTCTTCTGTCTCTGCTTGGAGTTGTGACACAAAGTTTGGTTATTACCGCTTTACCAGGAGAAAGTGCAAATTCATACCCTCCCCCACCCAAACACTCTAATCTAAATTTCACTCTCAAGCCCTATGACATTCCAGAAAAGTACCTTTTGAACATAATAATGACATGTTCCAAGTACTTTGTATTTGAAGAGTAAATCAAGTGAGCTTTTTGAGGTGTGGGAAAAACTAGAAAATACTTATCTAAGATATCCTGGAGTCCACAGTGTGTGACTGAGTTGTAAGCTCATCTTGCAGATTTTTGAGACTCTGTTCAGTCAATGATATTTTTGTAAGCTGATCCTTCTGGCACGTTGGTACGGATTTGTTTTCCATTATTAGTCCAGTTTAACTGATGCATTTAGTTAAAACCAGCACCAGGTAATAAATGCCAATATAAAATTTATTCCAAAAGCTCTGAAATTAAAGGAAATGAGATATTAAAGGACATCAAAGTCATATTAAAGGAAATTAGAGCAAACGAAAATGTAGTTGCTAAGTAGAACTATTTATAGCAGCAATCCATCCTTTGAGAGAATTTCTTTTTACTACAGTGAACATTGCCTACATTAGCTCTCTTTATAAAGCAACTGGGCACTTGTCTCGCATAATCTCATGGGGGGCATATTTTAAGTTACTATGACTTAACATTTGCTATCGAATTATGGAAATAAATGGCCTATGACAGTTGTGAGGAAAAACTCATGAGTGTCATGTGTCCTCTTGAACTACCTTCCTAAGAATAGGTTATATTTCACCCTCTCTCTGTGCAGCCCCCAGGATGAAGATGCCTCTTTCCATTTTGCTGGGAGTGGGTATTCTGTCGTGGAGAAGACTCTCCGGGCTACTGTGACTCAGATAATTATGCTTTTTAGTACCTATTCACCTAACGGGCTGCTTCTCTACCTGGCTTCAAATGGCACCGTAAGAGTTTTTAAGGGCACTATGCCCTGCTGTGTATATACAGTTGGATTGCTCTGAGGATATTTATTAAATGATTGTTTTATGAGCACATACAAGGATAATATATACACATGTTTGCCATACTAGTTTCCCGTTTTAAATATTTATCAGTACAAACTCACTGGCGAACATTTGGAAAAGCATGTCAAATAGAAAATAGCTTCCCATTATTATGTGCATTTAGCTATGTCCAACTCTTTGTGACCCTACAGAGTGTAGCCCAGCAGGCTCTTGTGTCCATGGGATTCTCCAGGCAAGAGTACTGGAGCGGGTTGCCATGCCCTCCTCCAGGGGAATCTTCCCAACCTGTGGACCCAACCTGAGTCTCTTATACTGCCTGTGGACTCTACCCACTGAGACACCTGGGAAGCCGCCCCCCATTATAAATGTCACTTAAACATTTATTATTAGATTTTGAGCCTAAATAAAAGGTCTTGTTTTATTCACTGTGACTTCCTAACCTTATTTGAATTCCATCAGAGGAGTTCATGTTCTTATTTTTATCTTGAGTGCTGGTGATCTTTCTGTTTTGTGGTTGTATTTTTAAGACTGGCTTATTTGTCAGTCTAAGTGAAAAAGATGCAGAGAGCCCACTTCTCTTACTGTGTTGTGGACTTTGACGTTCATGAGTTTATCTCACATATGTCTGTATATTAGTCTAGAAAACCTTGTGAACCCTTTTAATGTCCAACTATTAGGCCAGATCCTGTTCTTTCAGTTTGACTGTAGGAGGTTTCCACCCTCCCTGACTTGGAGAGAAAGGAAATATTCTGATAATAATGTAACCATGGGTAAGTGTTTTCTCTTGTTTTTTTACAGAAAGACTTTTTATCCATTGACCTGGTCGATGGCAGAGTCAGGGTGACAGTTGACCTGGGTTCTGGGCCTCTTGCTCTGATTACCGACCGACGCTATAATAATGGAACATGGTACAAAATTGCCTTCCAGCGAAATAAAAAGCAAGGTAAGTGTGAGGACAGACGGACAAAATGCCCTGGTAGGAATGGAAATCTTTCCAAAGTTAGCAGTCTTTGTTTTTTCTTTAGCTTTCTGAGTCTTCTTGAATGACATTCTATTCAAAAGCCGTTGTTTTCTTTGGAATTCTGAGCACCAGGATTCACAGCGTGGTGAAAGAATAGTCTACTTGTCTGTGGTTTCCCAAATGCATTGGGCTTCCCTGGTAGCTCGGTTGGTAAAGAATTCCCCTGCAATGCAGGAGACCCCGGTTCAGTTCCTGGTTCAGGAAGATCCCCTGGAGAAGGGATACACTACTCACTCCAATATTCTCCAGGGCTCCCCTGGTGGCTGAAAAAGAATCGCCCTGCAATGCAGGAGACCTGGATTCGATCCCTGGGTTGGGAAGATCCCCTGGAGATGGGAAAAGCTATCCACTCCAGTATTCTGGCCTGGAGAATTCCATGGACTGTATAGTCCATGGGATTGCAAAGAGTCGGACACGAATGAGCGACTTTCACTTTTGCAAATGCATTATTTAACATTAAAGGCTAAATTGGAATCAAGGGTCAAATTGATTCCATTTTCTTTCACACATTCTGGTGCCATTTAGCATGTGCATTCTGGATTTATTGACTTTTGTAAAGAGGGTTTTCATTTGCCCTTTAACAGTCAAGAACATTCCTTGATCAAATTTGCAGGATGGAAAAGAATATGTCTTTGTTAATGAACTTTGTGAGATGTCTGTGTTTTGTTTTACTGTAGAAAATGACTTTCTTATCTGTTCCCTTGATCTCCTTTAGGGCTCCTAGCAGTTATCGATGCTTATAACACCACCTACAAAGAAACCAAGCAAGGGGAGACTCCAGGAGCATCTTCTGACCTCAATCGTCTGGATAAGGATCCAATTTATGTGGGTGGATTACCGAGGTCTAGGGCGATAAGGTATGATACCACACTGCAGAATTGTCGTGTCCCTAATTACTATTTTAGCTTCCATAACAAAATCCCACAAACTGGGCAGCTTAAACAACAGAAATAATTTTAAAATGTGTAAGAAATGTCTCTTACAGTTCTGGAGGCTGTGATTCAGGTGTGAATCACCTGTGAAATCAGGTGTCCACAGAGCTGCTTCCTTCTGAGGATCATGAGAAAGAATCTGTTCCATGCTGTCTCTGGGCTTCTGGTAGCTTCAGGCATTCCTCAGCTTGTAGATGGCATTCTTCATCTGTGTGGACACATTGTCTTCACTCTGTGTCTCTCTGTGACCAAGTTTCCCCTTTTTATAAGGACACCACTCATACTGGATTAGAACCTATCCTAATGACCTCATCCTAACTTGATTACAACCACAAAGACCTATTTCCAAGTATGACTACATTCAGTACCTTATGAATACTACGTCAAAGTAGAACGTTAGAAAGTCAAAATCTTTTTTGAGAGGAGGTGGAGAAGATAATTGAGCTCATAGCACTCTGTTTTGATTAGTATGCCATATTTGTTGTCGTTGAATCTCTGCCAGCTCTTTGCGACCCCATGGACTGCAGCATGCCAGGCCTCTCTGTCCTTCACTATCTCCTGGATTTTGCTCAGATTCATGTCCATTGAATCGGTGATGCTATTTAACCATCTCCTGCCGCCCCCTTCTCCTGTTGCCCTCAATCTTTCCCAGCATCAGGGTATTTTCCAAAGAGTCAGCTCTTCACATCAAGTGGCCCAAGTATTGGAGCTTCAGCTTCAGCCTCAATCCTTCCACTGAATATTCAGGATTTATTTTCCAGTATGCCATATACTTGAGAAGTAAAAAAAGTCTTTTGTAGTAAAATTTATGATGTTCTACTTACTGCCTGTGGAACATCTAAAAATGGTAACTGTGCAATATTTGGAGACCTCACTTTCCATCACACGTCATTCTCCAGATTTTCTACTAGAAAAATCTCTGTAGAGACCAAAAAAAAAAAAAGATTGTGCTTTCTGCAGACTTATCTGGATTCCCCTTTTATGTGATTAGAGTGAATAATGTATGTGAAAGCTGAAAGACCAGCATCAGCAAGTTGGATTAAAGATAGCAGAGGAGAGATGCACTGATTCTTATTCTTGTTTAGCTTTGCGACTTTAATAATTCACATAAACTTTCTGCAGTTTGCTGTTCTCAGTTTTGTAATTTTGAATTGGGGACAAATTAAGCGAGACATTTCTTTCACACCATTAAAAAAAAAGAATGCATACACGGCCAGCAGTCAAGGTAGCCAAGCTCCCAGAGACTGAACTGTAAACTGTGTGCCGTAATTTCCTTATGACAATACACTGTCTTTTCTTATAACTGGTCTCTGTTTTGGTGAGGATGCCCAGATGGTAATGACTGTAATCGTTTCCCTTAAAAACATTAAGCAGGATTTTGTCTAGGTAGCCATTTAGGTGGTTGTTGCTCAGTTGTGACCGACTCTTTATGACCCCATGAACTGCAGCCCTCCAGGCTTCCCTGTCCTTCATTATCTCCTGGAGTTTGCTCAAACTCATGTCCATTGAGGCAGTGATGCCATCCAGCCATCTCATCCTCTGTCACCTCCTTCTCTTGCTCTCAGTCTTTCCCAGCATCAGGGTCTTTTCCAGTGAGTCAGCTCTTTGCATCAGGTGACCAAAGTATTGAAGCTTCAGCTTCAGCATCAGTCTTTCCAATGAATATTCAGGTTTGATCTCCTTGCAGTCCTAGGGACTCTTTAGAGTCTTCTCTAGAGTCTTCTCCAGCACCACAGTTTGAAAGCTTCAATTCTTCTGCACCCAGCCTTCTTTATGGCCATCTAGGTAGTTGTGCTCATTAAATTTGATCCTTTTCTTTAGTCCTAAGGCAAGCACATGTTTGACCTGAATTCTCACTGTCTCATGGTCAGTAGCCTTTTTAGAGGGAGACCTAGACATTTCTGAGAATGACACCTGGAAGGAGATCTTCTTTGTTTTTATTTCTTCTTTCAAACCTGGAGTTATAAGATCTAAACTTCGTTGCTACTGCTCTCCTGTCCTTCCCTACAGGAAAGGTGTCTCCAGCAAAAGCTACGTGGGCTGCATCAAAAACTTGGAGATATCCAGATCCACCTTTGATTTACTCAGAAATTCCTATGGCGTGAGGAAAGGCTGTGTATTGGAGGTGGGGAGCGTTTTATGAATATTGGAACCAGTGTAGTAATATTAGGACGAGTAAATCAAATGCCTACTGATTTACTAACATCATAAGGCAACAGGATCTAAACCAGGGGGTTGAACGAAAAAGAGGTGGTGGGGAAAACGGCAGTCTCGGGGTGGTGTTTTTGGGGGAGGTTCCACACATGGTGGACCTGATGGGCTTTCTTCTCTCCTCTCTGACCAGCCTGTCCGAAGCGTCAGCTTCTTGAGAGGTGGCTACGTTGAACTGCCTCCCAAGCCTCTGTCACCAGATGCGGAGTTGTTGGCAACATTCGCTACCAGGAACAGCAGTGGCATCATCCTGGCCGCCCTGAGCCAGGGCGGTGAGAAGCCAGGAGATCGGCAGGCCCATGGGGTGAGTGACCCAGAGGCTCTCAAGCCAGGAGCTCCGGGAGGAAGTGACTTCAGGAAACACTGGGTGGAAGATGACTTAGTCCTAAGGTGTATTCTAGCCGTGTGCCTGGTTGTTTATGGGGGTGCATATTTACTAAGGAGACGTGTTCATTGCTGAATGTGGTTTCCTTCATGAATCAGTGGTGTCTTTGTGTGTGCAAAGTCCATCTTCCTTGTCCAGCCACTGAGGAGAAAGACACTTATGTCTACCTCGGTTCCTAATAGCATAGGTGATATTTACCCTTTCCTCTCCTCAGACTTTATATATTATGTAACTTGAAGAGACTCAGAGAATGTTAATGTATTGTATTAATGAAATAAAAGTCACAAAGCTACAATTTAGAGTACGGCTCTCTACTGTGCAAGATATTTTATGGACAGTGTCTGTGTGTGTGTTTATTCAGTGAAATATTATTCAGCCAGAAAATAGGAGGAAATCCTATGTATGAACACGTATGAACCTCGAGGACATTATGTTAAGTGAAATAAGTTAAATGGAGAAAGACAAGTACTGTATGATCTCATTTTTATGGGGAAACTTAAAAAAAACTCATAGAAACAGAACATAGTGGTGGTCACCAGAGTTTGTAAGGGCAAGAGGGAATTGGGTGGAGAGGGTCAAAAGGCACAAACATCCAGCTGTAAGACAAGATTGAGGGTGATATACAGGACAGTGACTATAGTCACAGCACCATATTGCATTTGAAAGTTGCTAAGAGAGTGGATCTTAAAGGCTCTCACCATAAGAAAAAGATTTTGCAACTATATGAGGTGATCGATGTTAACTAAGCTTATTGTGGTGATCATTTTGTGATATATTCAAATATCCAATGGTTGTGTTGTATACCTAAGGCTAATACAATGGTATATGTCAATCATATCTCAGTAAAGAGATATGGGGAAAGAGAGAAATAAATCAGTGATTTATGACATGACTATTTGTTAGTACATAACAAAGCAATAAGTAAGTGTGAAGACTGTGTAGAAATGGAAATCTTTGATGTGGTTAGTGATAACAGCCTAATGCAGAAAGTAAATTATGTGAGCAGAGATTTGAAAGTAGCATACGAAGTAGAAAACAGTTGTGTCACATGGTGATATTTTTAAGGAACTGCTTCCTTGGCACTAATACAGCCACATTGCCTTCATCAGATGATAATTCTTTAAATCCTGTAGTAATGTCTTTTCTATGGGAATTCTCTATTGTCTCTAGCCCTTCTGGTCCATCATGCTAATTGAAGGCCACGTTGAAGTGCATATTAACCCTGGGGACGGAACCAGCCTGAGAAGAGCTCTTCTGCATGCTCCCACGGGCACCTATGGTGATGGTCAAGAGCATTCTATCTCTCTGATAAGGAGCGGAAGGTATTTGCCTGACCTTACAAAGGTTCCCCAGTAGGATGCTTGTATGGGGCTCTTTGCAGTGAAATGATTGGGATAATTAGTATGATGTCATGAGCATTCACTTTTTAGCGTTCCAAAATAATTCTAGAAGCTTGCTGGAAGACGTCCTTGGAAATCAATTTCATCTGCTCTGTAATAAGACATTTGCAGATTTTTAATAATTGAGCAACCTTAACCCTGCCCTTTCGTGGGGGCCAGCGTAAATTGTCTTTAGTTGGAAAAATTCTGTGTCAAATACCATTACAGTGTTAGTAAATTCTAATAGTGAGTGGGAAAATAGTAAATAACTGTAGTGTGCTCAGTTGTGTCTGACTCTTTGCAACTGAATCCACAGTCTGTAGCCTGCGAGGCTCCTCTGTCCCTGGGATTTTCCAGGCAAGAATATTGGAGTGGGTTGCCATTTCCTTCTTCAGGGGATCTTCCTGACCCAGGGCTTGAACCCGTGTCTCCTGTATGGCAGTTGGATTTTTTACCACGGAGCCACCCAGGAAGCAAATTTTAATAGTGAATGGTATAATAGTAAATAGCAACAATGCAAATAGTAAAATGTAAATAGTAGTAAATAGTGTTAGAGTAACATTTCTGTATTAATCTCCCTCAAAAACTATGGACCAAATGTTTTAAAAACACACTGGACATTTTGTCACAGATAAAGAAGTAAAGGATACTCTCCAAAAAAGCACTCGAACTGAATAATGTTTAATCACATTACATTCATTTTGGGGAAAGGTTCAACTGTTTCTTTTCATGTTCAAGAGTTGCTTTTTTTTTATTCACACATGTTAAATTTCATGTTAAAAATTTTCTTTTAGGGAAAACTTTTATTAGTAAGAACTTGCTGAAATAAAATGGACAGTGATGTTTCACTGTATTTAAAAACCTTTATTTTCTCCTTTGACTCTTTAGAGTTGTCACCGTTCAAGTGGATGAGACAACTCCTGTGGAAATGAAGTTGGGCCCGTCAGCAGAAAGCAGGACCATAAATGTGTCCAGCCTGTACGTTGGGGGCATTCCAGAGGGTGAGGGGACACCCATGCTCAAGATGAGAAGCTTGTTCCATGGCTGTATCCGAAACCTGGTCTTTAACATGGAGTAAGTATGACTGTGCTCTCAGCCTGACTGTGCCCGTCCTGATCTTTCAATGCCCAGTACTGACACTAATCTACAATCTAATTTTGCCATTGGAGCTGGCCTCAGATTCTGCAAGTTCCCAAATAATAAGTGGATCCCATGTTTTATCATGAAAGTCCCCCCAGATGGACTTTATTGAACTAGAATGATGGACAGTCTGGTCATCATGCATGAGAAAGAAAAGAACCACTCGACATTAGTTTTACGGGTGGTGCTAGCGGTAAAGAACCTTCCTGCCAATGCAGGAGACTTAAGAGATGTGGGTTCTACCCCTGGGTCAGGAAGATCCCCTAAAGGAGGGCATGGCCACCCACTCAAGTATCCTTGCCTGCAGAATTCCATGGACAGAGGAGCCTGGTGGGCTACAGTCCATGGGGTCGCAGAGTCTGACATGACTGAAGAGACTGACCATGCGTATGGACTTCTCGTCATTGTGGGAGACCGTCGTTCGGTTACTCTTACGAGTATTGTATTAGTATTTTTTAATAAGTTTTAAGTGTTCAGTAATCACATGACCTTGGTGCATGTGTTGGGTTGTATTATCATCATTGACTATTAAACGCTTTGTTTGTATCTAGACTTCTGGATTTCACGAGTGCCACTGACTATGAACACGCAGACTTGGACTCCTGCTCACTCTCAGAGAGGCCGAAACTAGCTGTCTACCGAGAGGACGGAGAACTCCCGCCAGAGCCCCAGCCTTTACCAAGTCCAGTAAGAAGGCCCTTCTTTAATTATGCAGTTTAGTGTTAGTCACTCAGTCGTGTCTGACTCTTTGTGACCCCATGGACTGTAGCTCGCCAGGCTCCTCTGTCCGTCCATGGGATTCTCCAGGCAAGAATACTGGAGTGGGTGGGTTGCAATTTCTTTCTCCACGGTGTCTTCCCTACCCAGGGATCGAGCTTGTGTCTCCTGAATTGCAGGCAGATTCTCCACCACCTGAACCACCAGGGAAGCCCTTGTTAGCTTTCACTTTCCTTTCCGTTTGATGATTTCTCTGCTTCCTTGGTTGAGAGCTCATGCTGTGATGATGAGATGGCTCAGTTGTACAGAGCAAGGCCTGTCTCTGAGTTCAGGGTGGTGGCATTGGTCGCCTCCATCCACCGGCCTGGGAAACTGAGCCTACGGCCTTACTCGGCCTGGACCCAGGGCACCTGCCCTCCAGTCCGGCTCCTCCTGGCTACACCTTGCTCCTGTCGAGGAGGAACCACCTTGGCCTGTCCCCTGTGGGCACGTACAGTCCCTGGCTGCCTGTGTGCCAGCTGATCCTACAGCTGCTGACCCCTCAGGCCCTCCCCAGAGCAGGGTTTTTTTGAGGAGGGGTGGTTGCAGGCATAAGCAAGGCCTTTGCCGCCTGGACCTGATGAAAATTCATGGGAATTTGGTGAACTTGAGTGGGATTGAGTTAAAAAACAGAAGCTCTAATTGCCTTCTCAGAGAGACAAAGAGGTGTGGAATAAACAGCCGAGAAGGTAAAGGCAGTGCTGGGGTGTTTGTGTTGCTGGTGCTCTGACACCATTGCTTCTGAGATGTTTCCTTCATGGAAAGACATGTTTGTGTTGCGGGGTGTGGTCGGGGGCCGGGGCGGTGGGCCTGGCCTTGCGTGGCTTTATCATGAAAGTCATGGCTTTATCATACAAGTGAGCCGTGTGCATTTCTTACAGGGACTGTGTGCCATGGACGGGGCCCCAGAATACGTCCCCAGTGCCCACCAGTTCGGCCTCGCAGAAGGCAGCCACTTGGTGCTCCCCTTTAACCAGCTGGCTGTCCGAAAGAGGTAGGCGATGCTCTCATGTCCTCATGAGGTGTCTCATTGCTAGACGAATCCAGGGCATATTCTTCAGCAGTGGGTCTTTTCCGGAAGAAGCTTCTCGTGTTTCACGAGAAGTAAACACTTTGGAGTGTTCGCTTGCCACCACGTGGCGGCAGTGAGTGGCAAAGAAGAACGCAGCTTCTGTGCGGCTCAGATGTGTCAGCGTGGTTCAGCCGGGTTCTGTAGTTTGCCTGGACCCCGTCTTGATGATGGCAGGTGGCTGCCTCTCTGGGGGTGTGGAGAGCCCTGGCTGCCTAAACCCCTCTTCCTTCTGGAATCCCAAGTCCCCTGAAGGTGTCATCTGGACTCTGAATCCCATTCTACAGGAAGCATTCACTAATCTGTGGAAACGGCCCCCCCAGCTCTATCATCATGACCCCAAATTCCTGGAGCCACACGATCACCAGCCTGCGCGTTCCCTCTGCCTTTCACACCTGCCTGTCCCAGGCAGCCTTCTCCAGCCGGGGAAGCCGGCTTACATCCCAGAGAGCTCGTGGCCGAGGCTCCTCAGGACCCACAGACCTCCCTGTCCTCCTGTGGGTCTCAGCCCCGCAGTCCACGCCCTCGGCTCTGCAGTGCTCTATGCCTCTGTCGCTTCCATCTGGGGTCATTGCCCCTTGTCTCCTGCCTTCAGTTCCCATGAACTTGGCAGCTGCCCAGCCCCTGATCTTTGAGGTCCTCTGGCTCTGATCTGTCAGAGGTCTTTCCCTCATTCCTCCCCGGCCGCCTTATTCCCGTGGTCACACTGCTGAGCACTTGATAAGTACCCACCCCACCTGCACAATCTTTGCTTTAAGCAGCCTGCTAACCGCCTCTCCTTCCTCCTTACTTCTCACTCCAGCAGCTGCTCACCCCCATCAAGACCTCTGAGCCCTCTGACTTTCTCGCCATCATCACCCTTTTTTGCTGCAGCTCATTAAGCCCCCTTCCCCACTGGCCTCCACGTGACCCAGTTTTAACTCTCTGGTATATTTCTGGTGTTANGCTCCAGCAGCTGCTCACCCCCATCAAGACCTCTGAGCCCTCTGACTTTCTCGCCATCATCACCCTTTTTTGCTGCAGCTCATTAAGCCCCCTTCCCCACTGGCCTCCACGTGACCCAGTTTTAACTCTCTGGTATATTTCTGGTGTTACTTTTGGGGGGAAAGGGACCCCCGTCTGTTTACTGCTTGATCCTTTGCTCCTAAATTCCTGGCAGATGGAGGTAGGCAGTTACCACAAGTGAATGAATGGGGATAGGTCAGTGAAGGGATGAATGACCTGAGATGTTAGATATAGATGCTGAAACACTTACTGGGGTCTCTGAATCTAAAGAGTGACAGTGAGAGCATGTTCCTTTCTGAGAGCCCTCGCCCTCCTCCAGGCTCTCCGTTCAGCTGAGCATCCGCACCTTCGCCCCCAGCGGCCTGGTGTACTACATGGCTCACCAGAACCAGGTGGACTACGCCACGCTCCAGCTGCACGCCGGCCGCCTCCACTTCACCTTCGACCTCGGGAAGGGCAGGACCAAGGTCTCGCACCCCGCGCTGCTCAGCGATGGCCAGTGGCACACGGTAGGCTCTCGGGAAGGTGGGGTCACTCGTGCCGAGGTCTGTTCCACCGGCCCCTCGTGTCCACTCCATTTCACAGTAGTGGGATCAACCTCTTTGATTTCCAGCTTGCTCTGTGTCTGACATCTGCCCCATAGGATGAGGGCTTCTGACGGGCACAACCCTTTCTGCCTCCTGAAACACCCCCAAGGGCTCACTCAGTGCCTCACACTTGGTAGGCCCTCAGCCAACATTGGGACAATGAATGAAATGTTCATTCACCAGATATATTCTTGGTTTGACAAGAAGTAAACCAAGCCCACGGGTGGTGTGAATGGGCCCAACCTGATGTCCTGGCCTCCTTGCCTCTGTGACGGGGACTCTGAAGCAGGTCCTGTGCTAACCTGCTCCAGGCTCAGCCTCCTCTCTACCCCAGAGGTGTGAACACCTGAGCCATCCTTGAGGGTTCCATTCGGGTTATTACTCCTGCAGTGAACAGATGCTGCAAACAGCTGTTGTTTTCTCAGATTCCTTAGAAATGACTCATGTCTTCCTATCGCTCTAGGTCAAGACAGAGTACTTTAAAAGGAAGGGCTTCATGACGGTCGACGGCCAGGAATCGCCCGTGGTGACCACGGTGGGAGATGCCACCACGCTAGATGTGGAAGGAAAGCTGTACCTCGGAGGCCTCCCCTCCAAATACAGGGCCAGGAACATTGGAAATGTAAGCAGCATTTTCTCCGTAGGCCCATCTTTACCTTTATTGTGGTTGTTGTTTGTCTTATGGAGGAATGTGTTTGTATTTAAATTACCGTGTTTGGGCCTGGAGCTTGGCCACAAAATGCAAACATTTGGAACCACATCCCTCGACTGTGTGTTGGGACTTCTCCCTGAAGCCCAGCCTGCCTTCCTGCTGGTTAGTGAAAGAACAGTTCCCTTCCCACAGGCGTTTAGCCCCAGTGCAACTCAGGAAAAGTCCAGCAAATTCGTATTTGCAGATTAGAATGCTCTACAGTCTTTTCTTTTCTCCTGGTTTTTCATTTATTATTTATTTTTGACTGTGGTGGATCTTTGTTGCTGCCTCTGGGCTTTTCTCTAGTTGGAGCAAGAGGGGGCCACCCTCTGGTTGCAGTGCACGGGCTTCTCGTTGCAGTGGCTTCTCTTGTTGCGGAGCACAGGCTCTAGGAAGCACAGGCTTCAGTAGTTGCAGCTCCCCCGTTCTGGAGCACTGGCTCAATAGTTCTGTGACACACAGGCTTAGCTGCTCCATGGCATGTGGAATCTTCCCAACTGGGGATTGAACCTGTGTCTCCTTCACTGGCACGTGGATTCTCTACCCCTGAGCCCCCAGGGAAGCCCCACTCCACAGTCTTGATTTCCACAATTTTACTCAATAGAAAACCCTTTTTACTATGTTACAGTAGCTTTAAGTTAGACCTTCATGGGACGTATCGTGGCCACTGGATTTTTAAAACCAAAAGACAGTGTTTTACTGTGTTGTGTCGAAGTGTGGGAATAGTGTGTGCTTGTCCTTCTCATGTCCTCACCATCTCCTACTCCTGCAACATTTCACTTAGATCACCCACAGCATCCCTGCCTGCCTCAGGGAGGTGACAGTGAACAGCCAGCAGCTGGACACAGTCAGCCCCGTGTCTGCGTTTGCAGTGACCAGGTGCTATGCCGTGGCCCAGGAGGGAACTTTCTTTGAAGGCAGTGGATACGCAGCCCTCGGTATGTACGATCAACCGTCTCACAGGCAACCTCTGGATGCCCTGCAGTCTAAGATGATAAGGATCCAGGAATCATCTGATAGGACAGGACCTGCTGCACAAGCTGCAGTGAGACCCCGAATTCTGGATTCTCAGCATCTTGTGTAAAAACCTGCTCACCTGTCGTGGTACTCAGATGGCCTCTCGCCAGGAGAGGTGACCCTCCAGACGGACGGCAACATGTGGCCTGGTGTCATCTGTACTGGCCCCAGATTATATAAGGCAAAAGCTGTCACTGTTCAGGTTAATAAAGACCTTTGAATTCAAAGCCAGCACCATAAAATGTCTGGACCAGCCAGCCAAGTGCGACCCCGTTTTGATGAAGAAATTAACTCTGTTTAGACTGTTGAAATATTCATGAGTTGTAAGTAGAGGAATTTAAATCTCTAAAATGCTTTAGGATGGAAATTCCTCAAGGCTTAGAAGTAGCCCTTGTTATATATCTTACGTGCTCTCCCACTTCAGATGCTTGATTGGCCGGCTAAACCTGGTGGTTCAGTGGTAAAGAATCGCCTGCCAGGCAGGAGGTGTGGGTTTGATCTCTGGGTCGGGAAGATCCCCTGGAGGAGGGCATGGCAACCCACACCAGTATTCTTACCTGGAGAATCCCATGGACAGAGGAGCCTGGCGGGCTACAGTCCATGGAATCGCAAAGAACCTGACATGACTTAGGGACTAAAGAACAACAACTTGCCGGCTAACTTCCTGTTTACACTCAAACAGTGTAAAAGCAGTGCTCCCCTGGCCCCCGTTCTATTTCCCATCACAGGGAACTAATTTCTGGGCTCCTTTGCCTGGGGCTTCCAGGGAGGCTGTGGTGGAAGATGGAGTTTGGGAGGGAGGAGAGGAAAAGCCAGCAGGCTTCTCTCTTGCACTCTGTGCTTCTAGTAACACCACCTTCTCCCATTTTTCCTTCAGCCCTGGGCCTCATAGGTAACAACTGCCTGCTATTGCTAGTATCCCTAACTTAGCCCAGCTTTTTTATCATCTGAATGAAAAATTCATTCAATTAAAACCCCACTTTAAAAAAAATGCATAGTGTGGAGTCTAACACACTTAACACACTCAACACACTCAGCAAATGATGACAGACCGGTAAGTGGATACTGGGAAAGTGAAGTGCTCTATTTTTCGGATGGATGATGACCCAATTACATGGATCAGATCCCTTCTGACTTCTACCTACGTGGCTCTGGATAAAAGCATGTGCCCACTTCAGCTCTAGTCAGGTTTAGCCCAGCTGGCTGTGTGTTTTCTTTAAAAGCGTCACTTCATCCTACAGAGGTACAAGCCGAGGCTCAGGGGTGGAAGCGTCTTGCTGGTGGGGGTGAAGCTGGATCCAGAGAAGGAGCTGGAGCTAGGTCTCCTGATCTCATCAGGAGCCCAAAAGCACAGCCAGCCAGCCAGCCAGGCCAGCCCCTGGCCTCTCTGAGCCTGTGCCTTCGTGCATCGGGCAGGCCCCATCCCTAACTGGGTGTCTCCCTTGTGTGTTTCAGTCAGAGAAGGCTATAAAGTGCGATCCGACATGAACATCACGCTGGAATTCCGTACCTCATCGGAGAACGGTGTCCTCCTGGGGATCAGCAGCGCCAAAGTGGATGCCATTGGACTGGAGATTGTAGATGGAAAGGTGGACGCTTAATCTGGATGGGATCCCCCACCCGCCACATCTCATCCCAGTGTCAGAGAGAGCAGTTGAGAAACAGTAGAAATATCTAGATTCAAATTTCTAATTATTCACTTTCATGGAATGGAGAAAAGATTCAGTTAATATTTAAAAATAGATAACCCTAAAAAAGGACTTCCCTGGTGGCTCAGTGGTCAAGAGTCTGCCTGCAGTGCAGGAGACCTGGGTTCAATCCCTGAGTCAGGAAGATCCCCTGGAGTAGGAAATAGCAACCCACTCCACCGTTCTTGCCTGGGAAATCCCATGGACAGAGCAGCCTGGTGGGCTACAGTCCAGGGGATCACTAAGAGTCAGATACGACTGAAGCGACTAAACAACAATAGCAAAGCTTCACGTACAGCATAAGAAGTTGACAGTAGGATACTTAGAGTGTTTCCCTCCCACCTTCTGCAGGTCTCAGATTTTTTTATACTACCAGGGGTAGTGGAGCATCCGTGGTTTTTCAGGAGGGAGTTAGTGAATGTTCCTTCACATGTGCTATCGCAACAGCTGTGAACCAACTTTTTTAGTAGACCCGTGGGCTCCTGTCATGCTGAAAATACGACAGTGATTTGAGGATGCATCACTAAGATTGTGGCTCAGGCTTGCTCCCATGGAGATGTTTGTTGGCAAAGTAATGTCTCTGCTTTTTAATATGCTATCTAGGTTGGTCATAACTTTCCTTCCAAGGAGTAAGCGTCTTTTAATTTCATGACTGGCTGCAGTCACCATCTGCAGTGATTTTGGAGCCCAAAACAATAAAGTCTGCCACTGTTTCCCCACTGTTTCATTTGCCATGAAGTAATGGGACCAGATGCCATGATCTTTGTTTTCTGAATGTTGAGCTTTAAGCCAACATTTTCATAGGTAGCCCTCCCTTTTAGCAGAATGCTCTGATTTTATCCACTCTAAGAACATTGTGTGAATGGACTGTGTTCCTTGAATAGGGAAAAATTCACCAAGGTATTGGCTTGTGTCTCGCTTGTTTAGCTCTTGTTTCACGTTAACAACGGTGCTGGGAGGATAACAGCCACGTATGAGCCCAAAGCTCCTAGTATGCTCTGCGATGGGAGATGGCACGCCCTTCAGGCAAACAAGAGCAAGCATCGAGTGGTTCTGGTTGTCGACGGGAACGAGGTTCGAGCAGAAAGTCCACACACCCAGTCCACCTCCGCTGACACCAACGATCCCATTTATGTCGGCGGCTATCCTGGTGCGTGTGATGTGTACTCTGCTCATTTGTCAAGGGGCGTTGCCTCTGGGGGAAGTCTTATTCAGGTGGATAAAGAATAGGGGTGAAGAAAGATACATGGTTTGGGTGACAGATCCTTTACCATTTTAGGTCTATTCCAAGTACCTGCGAATTTTTGGAAAAATCAAAATAATCTACATATATAATTTGATTGGGGCTTCCCAGGTGGCACTAGTGGTTAAAAAACAGAACAAAAAAAAACCTACCTGCTAATGTAAGAGACGCTGGTTCAATCCCTGGGTAGGGAAGATCCTCTGAAGGAGGGCATAGCAACCCACTGCAGTATTCTTGCCTGGAGAATGCCATGAACAGAGGAGCCTGGCAGGCTACAGTTCATGGGGTCTCACAGAGTCAGGCACGACTGAAGCCACTTAGCATGCATGCACGCGGAAGTTGATCATTAGGTAAGACTCTGAAAACATCGGGTATGGGGTACAGTAAGCTGGGTGACTTTACTGACAGAAATCTCAAATGACGCCTGGAAGTGGGAATCATTTTACAGGTCAGTAATCATTTTAGAGGACAAGCATGTGTCTTACTTAACCTCTTGCATCACTTTTGGGTTCAAATTACGCATTTCAGATTCTCCAAGTAATTTGTACAAATGTTAATAAGATAAAAATCCCTTTTATGACTTAAGTCACAACTATGCCTTAAAATTATTGCTTATTAATAGTTTTCTATGAATTACGCTATCACTGAAGCCACTCATATGGAAAAATATTCTTCTAATCTCGAGGTGGATTAGTTTTGTTTCTACAAGCAGTTAGTTTTGTTTCTACTGCTCTTCTCACGTCATTTAACACAACAGTGTTTATTTTCTCTTCTTTTCCTAACAGCTGATGTGAAGCAGAACTGCCTGAGCAGCCATGCCTCCTTCCGGGGCTGTGTGCGGAGACTCACTCTGACCAAGGGCTCGCAGGTGCAATCCTTCGACTTCAGCACAGCTTTCGACCTGCAGGGAGTTTTCCCTCATTCCTGTCCTGGGACTGAGTCCTGAACTTTGAGGAACTCCTCGGTTGGGAACCATCATTTATATTTTGAGGAGAATTATTTTGTGAACTAAAATCTTTACAGTTCAGATTTCATTTCCAACTCAGGTTCGGTGTTTCCAGAGAGAACGTTTTTGTTTATGTTTAACTAAAACCATGTGTACAACAAATACCTCTATTAAATAGTTTAAAATGTAAATTGAAACCACTGACTCTTTTAAGTTTTTTAATGAAACTTTTGAAATGTTCTGTTGATCACCTGATGGTACTTCATGTTTTGCATTTTGAACTTTTAAAAAATATCATTATAGACTATCATAGATTAGAGTGGCATGTGAATACTTTCATGGACTTTCCCTGTGGCTCAGTGGTAAAGAACCCCCCTGCCGATGCAGGAAAAGAGTTCGATCCCTGGGTTGGGAAGATCCCCTGAAGAAGGGGATGGCAACCTACTCCAGTATTCTTGCCTGGGCAATCCCAGGGACAGAGGACTCTGGCTGGCTACAGTAGATGGGGTTGAAAAAAGAGTTGGACATCACTTAGCAACTAAACAACAACAAAATGAATACTTTCATTTCTTTATTAAGAATTTAAGCTCCAATTTCTACAGTGAACAAGTAACACTATTGGTTATATTCCAGCAGAGGGCACCAACTGTTTGCCACATAAGCACGTTAAGTAGACTTCAGCAAGGGGAAAAGCAAAGGGAACACAGGGAGATAGAGCCTGGTCTAGACAAAGCTTTGTTCTGAGAGGACCTAACCTAACAGAGCATTTTGCAAAATAAAAAAAGAAGTGGCACCATAACCAGATAGCTTGTTAGCCCTTACTATTGTAACCATTTTTAAGTGTACAGTTCTCTGGCATGAGGTACATTCACACTGTTGTACAACCATCACCACCATCCAGTTCCAAGACTCACTCCATCTTGCAAAACAAGCTCTATACCTATTAAATGCTAATTCCCAGCTGCCCTCTCTCCCGAGCTCCTGGCATCCAGCATTTTTCTTCCTTTGTGCATGGGTCTGACAACTCAAGTCACCTCATGTAAGTGGAATCATTCAAGTCTGTGACTGACATTATTATTCATGGCATAAGGTCCTGTAGGATCATCCATGATGGAGTATGTGTTAGTGTCCTTCCTTCCTTTATTTTTTTTTCCATTTATTTTTATTAGTTGGAGGCTAATTACTTTACAATATTGTAGTGGTTTTTGCCATACATTGACATGCATCAGTCATGGGTTTACATGTGTTCCCCATCCTGAACCCCCCTCCCACCTCCCTCTGTCCTTCCTTTCTTAAGGCTGAGTAATATTCCATTGTGTGTATATACCATATTTTTTATTTAATTTTTTAATTGAAGGATAATTGCTTTACAGAATTTCGTTGTTTTCTGTCAAACCACTACATGAATCAGCCATCGGTGTACATATATCTCCTCCCTTTTGAACCGCCCTCCCATCTCCCTCTCCATCCCACCCCTCTAGGTTGACATAGAGCCCCTATTTGAGTTTCCTGAGCCATACAGAAACTCCCATTGGCTATCTATTTTACATACAGTAATGTATATTTCCATGTTACTCCCTCCATACATCTCACCCTCTCCTCCCCATCCCCGTGTCTATAAGCCTATTCTCTATGTGTTTCTCCATTGCTACCCTGTAATTAAATTCTTCACAACCATTTTTCTAGATTCTGTATATGTGCGTAAGAATATGATATTTATTTTTCTTTTTCTGACTCACTTCACTCTGTATAATAGGTTCTAGGTTCATCCACCTCATCAGAACTGACTCAAATGCATTCCTTTTTATGGCTGAGTAATATTCTATTGTGTATATGTACCACAACTTTTTTATCCATTCATCTGTTGATGGGTATCTAGGTTGCTTCCATGTTCTAGCTATTGTAAATAGTGCTGCAATGAAAAATGGGATGCATGTGTCTTTTTCAACCCTGGTTTCTTCAGGGTATATGCCTAGGAGTGGGATTGCTGGGTCATATGGTGGTTTTTTTTTTTTTNAGAAGCCTGGCAGGTTATGGTCCATGGGGTCGCAAAGAGCCGGACACAACTCAACGACTAAACAGCCCCACTCAGGGGTCATCCATGTTGTAGCAGTTTTTAGAATCTCTCTTTTTTAAGGTTGGATGATATTCCATTGCAATGGATCGACCCCAGTTTGCTTATCCAGTCATCTACTGATGGACATTTGGGTTACTTTCTGTGTTTCAACTGAATCATGTTGCTACAGAATATTGATGTACAAATACCTCTTTGAGATCCTGCTTCTAATTCTTTTGAGTGTATGCCCAGAAGTGGAATTACTGGATCATACAGTAATTCTATTCTTAATTTTTTGAGGCACCGCCGTACTGTTTTCCACAGTAACTGTATCACGTTGCATTCCCACCAGCAGTGTACAATCCCAGCCGGGATTGTTTCCTAACCATCCCTTCCTGCAGTCCTTGCTGGCCTTTTCGGAGCAGAGTCATTCCTGTCTTCTCTCTTCACCCTCCCCTCAAGCTTTGCTCTGACTCTTGGTTTAGCTGAAGAAAAAAAAAAGACCCCCACCCCCACGCCTCTGAGTCTTCCGTGGGCTCCTAGGCTTCTAGCAGATTCTGCATTCCCTCTACAGGAATGCCTGGAGAGCCTCTACCCTGGAGGGCCACCCCTGCCGCGTCCCATCTCCCTCCCAGTCTCTGCCTTGCACCACAGCTCAATCCCACGTTCACCACTGTCTTCCTCAGGGAAGGGAGCATCCTTATTTGTTCAGAGCCCAGCTTCAGATGGTCCAAGTGACCACCTGGGAGCTCCATCTTCATCTTGTGCTACTTGGCAGGCATCATCCCTCTTTCCCAGCCAGAGGAAGGATGCAGCCCTTCCAATTCCCAACCTTTGAACAATTTTTGGCTTCTCCCAGCACATTACTTTTCCAGGCTGAAGAAAATCCCCTATTCTTGGTTTTTCTGCAGAATGAAGATTATTGTTAAGTCATATGCCAAGGGAATCGTCTCCTTTCCGTGGAGCCCCTGAGACTCCAATATGTAAGGAAATAATTCTCTAGATTTTAACAGTGGCAAAATGACTTAAATGTGCGGTGAGCACATTAAGATAATTCCCACCAAAGGCAGGGCTAGAGCGGGGAAAGATTTTCCACAATTTATTTTTATATACTTCTCTACATTTAACAGTGTAGTTTAGCATCGTGATGAGTACAATAATGAAAATATGCTTTTGAAATTGAAACTAGGATTGTAAAATGTATTTATCTACACTTTACATCTTTCCCAAAATAGCTTGAGGTAGAATATCATAAATATTCCCAATTATCTTAATAGTTGGAAGCACATAACATTTACTTTCCCTGGCGGCTCAGACGGTAAGGAATCTGCCTGCAATGTGAGAGACCCAGGTTCAATCCCTGCATCAGGAAGATCCCTTAGAGAAGGGAATGGCTACTCACTCCAGTATTCTTGCCTGGAGAATCCGCATGGACAGAGGAGCCTGGCAGGTTGTAGTCTATGGGGTTGCAAAGCATCAGACATGACAGCAATGAACACGCCTTATGCAAGGTGGTGTTCAGGGCTAGAGAGGCAGTATGGAAGCATGACACACGGGTCCAAGCCACCCAGCTGAAAGAAAGGGGACTGATGGGAATGTTAGGATGTGGGCAGGGGGACAGGCAGGAGGAGAGAGAACAGAGTGGATTGGGTCTAACCTTGGAGAGCACATTTAAGCTGGTAGGAAGGAGACTGGATGCCATGCCTTATGAAGCATCTGGGCTTTCCATTAGGAGGGTGTTTTGATGAAATGGTGCATAAAGGGCAGCCTGAGTCTGCCAGTTGAGAAGCACTGACTGGGTGGTGACCGATACCACGGCAGGGATAAAGATGAGAGGATTGTATAGGAACGTTAGAGGCTCCAGGAACACGTTAACTTCAGGCAGTAAAAGATGATGAGACTCAAGCAGGCAGCTCGGACAACGAGAATGGCAGTTCCACGGACAGGAAGTAAACAGAAAAATTATGGGAACTCAAGCTCTGAATGTATTGAACTTGAGAGACTGGTGAGACAATCTGAAGGGAGGTGTCTCAACGGGCTGGCTGGATTACGGACTGGCCTGGGATTCTTCTCACAATGCAAGCTATGTTATTTGTCTAACAGTATTTGTCTTTCTCTGTCTGACTTATTTCACTAAGCATAATACCCTCCAATTCTACTCATGCTGTGCAAAGGCCAAGATTTCATTCTTTTTTAATGGCTGAGTAGTTCTCCACTGGGGCTTCCCTGGTGGCTCAGATGGTAAAGAATCTGCTAGTAATGCGGGAGACCTGGGTTTGATCCCTGGGTTGGGGAGATCCCCTGAAGAAGGGCATGGCAACCCACTCCAGTATTCTTGCCTGGAGAATCCAAGGGACAGAGGAGCCTGGCGGGCTATGGTCCATGGGGTAACAAAGAATTGCACATGACGGTGACTAAGCACAGCACAGTATTGCATTGTATATGTATCAGTTTAGTTTTGATCAGTCACTCAGTTGTGTCTGACTCTCAGCGATCCCATGGACTGCAGCATGCCAGGCTTCCCTGTCCATCACCAACTCCCAGAGTTTACCCAAACTCATGTCCATTGTGTCGGTGTTGCCATCCAACCATCTCATCCTCTGTTTTCCCCTTCTGCTCCTGCTGTCAATCTTTCCCAGCATCGGGGTCTTTTCCAATGAGTCAGCTCTTCACATCAGGTGGCCAAAGTATTGGAGTTTCAGCTTCAATATCAGTTTTTCCAATGAACACTCAGGACTGATCTTTAGGATGGTCTCTTTGGATCTCCTTGCAGTCCAGGGGACTCTCAAGAGTCTTCTCAAACACGACGGTTCAAAAGCATCAACTCTTAGGCACTCAGCTTTCTTTATAGTCCAACTCTCACATCCATACATGATTACTGGAAAAACCATAGCCTTGACTAGATGGACTTTTATTGGCAAAGTAATGTCTCTGCTTTTTAATATGCTGTCTAGGTTGGTCAAACTTTCCTTCCAAGGAGTAAGTGTCTTTTAATTTCATGGCTGCAATCACCATATGCAGTGACTTTGGAGCCCCCAAAAATAAAGTCACCCACTGTTTCC